TTGCTTTTACACTTGCTCTCGCTCGTTCTTCAATTTATTACTTTACTGTTTTCTTGGCTGTTGCATAACAATATGTGTTTGATTAACTTTTGAGCCGGCATGATATTCATGTTTTGGTTTAGGTTTTTCTTGCATATGCTTCATTGCTTCAGTTGGAAATGCTTCTTGAACCTGAACACAGAAAAACATTTAAGAATAGTAGAAAAGAGATATAAGACGATATAAAACAAAATTACGTACTGGAACAAACGTACCGCTAACCATTTGTCCTGCTACACGATGTGAAATAGCAGTTTCTTGTGTTTGCTCTTCTTCATCTTCAGCTGGTGTTTCACCTGTATTTTGGGCTTCTTCATCATTCTCACCACTCGCTCCTTCAGCAGCATGCGCTCCTTTCGCTTTTTTGTCTTTATCTTCATTTTGTGATGTTCGACGTGGTTGAGCCACACGCATACCTCCAACTTTTACTAAAAATGAAATTAAAACAGTAAAGATGTTTATAAATAAAAACTTTTCTTTATTTACGTGCTGGTGCATGACCGGCCTTCAAGTCAGCTACAACTTTTTCGTCTACAGTAGTTGTTTCGTCCGGCATATTAAAAAATAATGATTATAAGATGAAAAATGGAAAAATAATAATAATAATCTAGAAATGAGAAAAATTCAACACTTTAACGGATATAATTGAGGATAAATTGTTACTAAATAATAAACTTTAATGAAAGAATCTTGGACTAGTCCCCATCCTAACATATGATTACAATAACACAAAAAATTGAACAAATTGTAGTTGTTTGATAGTGATGAAGTGGAAAATGCTTTTAGGCAACAACCAATCAATAACCAACGGACATCTACTTTGTTAAAGTTCTTTGCAGAATTCTGCATCAAACTCCAATGCACAAGAAGGTTGATTGTATAATTTACAAATTATTAAACAAGAATGTTTTTTTTTATGATGTACTTTGTTACGGAAAAATCCTTGCTTACCATGCTGCTTGCTATTGAGAAAAGACATAGATGGTTAGCCAATAACAACAAAGATTAAATGCAACCATATATTAACAGAAGCAAGAGAAAATAGCATCAAAACCTTTTAATTTTTAAAAATATTGAAAAAAAATATGTAATAACCAATAAGGAAGAAAACAAAACAATCAAAATAAAAAAGAACCGTATTTATTACATAAAAAATTAACTATAAATGAGAATAAAGAGACAATTGTCTAACATACTTGCTCATAAATACATTTTTCTAATACTAGTAAAACAATACTGTTGACTAGAATTTAGAAATCACCTGTTTTAAATATACATGTTTTGTTGTTTTTCGAGGAAAGGTCAATTTTTTTCTTAAACATTTTGATTGTGCTGTTTGTTGTTGTTGTTGTTGTTGTTCATCATCAGAACTAACATCAATATAATTTTCATCATCGTCCTCTTCATACTCTTTCTCCATATCTTCTGATGATGAACTGGATGAAGTTAAATCATCCTTATTATCTCTGTTATTAAAAAAATAATCAAATGAAAAATTATTTTTTTCTTTGATAGCATCCGATTGTAATCGAACATTTTTAACATATTGCAATACTTCTGCTAAAAATTCTTCTCCCTTTTTTTCAAACTTTAAACCGGTTACATAATTAAAAATTTCTTCCGGTGATAAAATCCTAGTTTTTTCATGTAGAGAATGTTTTGTAAAATAATTTGAAGTATTTGTACAATCACGAAGTAAATATTCATAAGCATTTGGATGATAAGGTTCAACGGCTTGAGAAACATCGATTACCCAAATATTATTTTGATACCATAACAAATTATATTCACTAAAATCGGCATGAATCAATTTACAATCATGATAAAGTTGTCGTAATAACTAAAAGAAAATAATATGAAATGTAACAATACATAAGTTTTGTTCAATTCCCCAATAATTACCTTCAAACATTGTTGATAAGCAATTAATAAATCTTGTTGATTTAATGTTAGATCGCGAAGTCGCTGCGCTGGAACACCATTTTCACCAATAAACGATAATAATAGAACATGTTTTTTTAATAAAACAGGTCGTGGACATAAAATTCCAGCATGAAGTAAACGTTGTAAATTGAACATTTCCTAAATAGTCATTTGTCAAAAATAAAAACTATTTTTATAATTGAAAAAGAGCTTACCTTTTCTGCCCATAATTTAACAATTTTTCGTGGATTCAAATGTTTATATCGATGTTTGAAACGATAATCTTCGCGCAAATATTTCTCACGTGTACGAAATTCGTTTAATGTTGTTTTAAAAACCTGAAAAATATATGTTAATTTGGTCTAGAAATATTGTTTTAAATATAAAAAAATTCACCTTAATAGCACATTCTGATGGTATATCATGTTCTTCTGTCCGTCCACCTTTCCCATGAAGTACAATAGATTCTTTTCCTTAGTAGAGTAATAATAAAAAAAATTATGGTTATGAAAATAAAAAATAGATAATCTTAAACTCACCAGTAGCTATAATCGAACCAATTTCATCCAATACACAAGAATTCAACATTTTATACAAGATGATACGAGTTTTAGGATCAAATGCTAAACTCTAAAATGAAACAATGTTTCATTCAGAGATGTAAAATGTATAAAAAAAATTTTTTTCTCAGAAATATATATTTTCTTTCTTAAGTGACGGACGTTTGCATCTATGAGTAGAACTTCTACTTATATAGTTCAATAAAATCGATTGACACAGTTCACTACTTTCACATACATTTTCAGTCAATTTCTAACCACAGAAAACACGATTACTTGAAGAGCAAATAGTTGCAAGAGTAATCCATTTTATAGACACAATCATATCTTGATATACAGATTGGATGAAAACAGAAGCAAACAATAAGCTTTTCTCATTTTCGAGAACTGATTGTAATAATTCAACAGTGAAGCAAATCTAAACATGGATAGTGTGAATGAACAACTTACGGCCGTTGCTTTTTCAACTTTATCGTGTAATTTTGTCATCCGTTTTTCTTCTGCATATGAATGAGTTTTCAGTACATTATAAACTTTATTTGATAATTTCATATCAAACGTTATACCATCTCCAGTATCGAATTCAGGCGGAAAAGTCTTAAAATAAAAGTAGAAATATAAAAAAACAGTAATAAATAAAGGAGTGATCGTATATCTACATTCATTATTTTTGAAACATTTCGTCTTCCACAAATAATTGGATTATGTTTTGTTACCATAAATGCTCCCTTTCCAGATGTTCCTCGTTTATTGAATGATGGTGCTTTTTCTTCTGAAAGTATAAACATATTGTATTCAATTAATATAAAATAAAAGACAATGTTTTTCTCAACAAACCTCTTTCATTATCACTGAATGCTTCTTGTTTTGCAATTATCACATCCTCACCATCATATTTACTATCTTTGGTTTGCGGTGTTGAGAGAAGCATATAATTTTTCATCGATAATTTAACTATCAAGATAATAAACTGTTCATAAAAGGAATTGATATTTATTACCGTACAGTAAGTATATCTACCTTTTCTATTTCTGTTCATTGTAGTTTCATATCGTTTTACCATATCATTAAATTCATCAGTATATTCTTGTTGAAGCATCAAAGCAACTAAATAATCATTATTCTCTGCTGTTAGATCAGATTGTTCTACGGGTAGCGTAGGTATAGAACTATTTAAAAATTCCTCATCAATAGGCGATTCAAATAATGAAACCTCCGTTTCAATTGGTGTAGCACGACTAAAAACAATCGGTAATACTTACAAAAACATTCTTTTATCTTATACGCACATTGTACATACCGAATTTCTTGCAATAATTTCCTATCTTCACTATTTTGTAAATGTTGAGCTAAATCATTTTCCATCAATGATTGAAACGATAAAGGATTATGAGTAGTGTCAATTATTTTCCAAGGTGATGTTGATATATTATTTACAAACGATGGACTTCCTGCAGTTGACGAGGGAGATTTTACTGGCATGACTATCGTCGGTGACTGTATATTTTCGTTCGGCATCTGAAAATCTTGATTAAAATCTAGAAAATGAAGATTGATAAAAATTTCAAGTGTAAAAACAATATTGAAAATCTCAAGGTTCTTTTTCCTTTGCAGGTAAAATTGAGAGATGAAAGTTGTCATCTCTCTTACCGATCAATAGAACAAGATATAAGTCGTTTATATATTCAATATTTAAGCAAAAAAAATATTTTTTTCGCAAGAACATTCAATAAAAATAAGAAATAAAACATGCACGATTCAGGATCAAATAGTATTGCGACATTTTTATTTTATTGTTTTTTTTTCTATTACGCTAAGATTATATGACTCATATGATGGTTATATTTCTACATACATACTTCTACATTTTTCTTATATAACAGAACAAGATAAAAAAATAACCAAGCGAAACATAACCACATTAACAACTAAAAAGTCTGCTTTCACTTTATAAAGGTTACTAAAACAAAACTCATTTGTAGTATAGTATACGGTATCAATTGCAGTAATTACAACCCCATGATTTAAAAACAATACTACTATGTTTAACATTGTTGCTTACATAGGTATATATGTATAATCATACATATAATTCTTGAGGTTTTTCTGAAATGGAACAGCGAATATGAATATTTTCTCTAAACTATTAAACAAACCCCATTCAGTGTTTGTTTTCTATAACAAGTGCATAATTTTACGTTCACTATTTTTCAAATTTTACGAAAATAGTTATCGACTTCTTTTGACAACGGTTATGCAAGACGCATAAAATATTCATCTATTTCTAGTCAAAAGAACAAACTATAAGATTATTCCATGAGATAAAATCACTTTACTTTTATATACAAATATATTACATAGTAGTGGTGGTGCACAGATTTAGAATCAAATAGAAAACAGAGATGTATATAATACAAATAAATAACATGGCACATCACTTTAGCACAAATACCCGTCTACGTAAACCGTTAAAAAAACATTTTTAAAAGAAACAACCGAGGAAGTGCTAGTTTTAAAAATAGTCATAAATAATTGTATACATACTTTTCAGCCATGACTTTATAAGTAAACAGAGATTCTATCAACCAGACAACAAGGAATATAATTTATGAACAGTTTAAAAAAAAATGAAACAAAAAAAAAATACGATAATACAATATCAAAGGCCGATAGAAGGGAATTTACCATAAAAGAAAGGGATTTACGTATAAAAAATAATAATCGTTCATTATCGATCATAGGTAATCTTGATTTAATGGTAAAAAGAGATCAATATCGTCCTTCGGTATTATACATAAACGAATAATCAGTTGATGTTTGAGGCCAAAACTGTTGCTGTTGTTGTAATGATTGATCATGCCAATTCGATGGATTATAAAAACCATTTTGAAGATTATAGTTTGTAGGTAATGGATCACTATTCGAATTTATATACGAATTCACTGATAAATTTTCAAAGAGTTCGTTTTGATGACGTATATCATCTGGACCTACAAAAAAAGCAAAGACAACAATATTGTTATACATTTAAAACACTTTTTATCAAAAGATGGCAATCAGTACGCATTCCTCTTGCTTATGGTTACGTATGTCTTTTTCAAATCCCAAAAATTTACCTGTTACATAGTCAATGTTCGACTGTTGTTCATATGGATAATTTAAAAATTGTAAATTCGATGACGCTGATTTATTATTAACAATATCTGATTGAAGAAACGAATAAGTTGGTATGAATAATGGTTGTGGTTGACGTCGAGGTTGTGATACTGATGTGGTGTTCGTACTGTCATTTGATGAAATACTTGATGCGGATGGACTTGGTCCACGGCTTGACAAAGATGACATATTACGAGTAAATGATGTCAAAATAGGACTAGCCGTAGCTCCAGACTTTAATTTTTGATTATTCAATGATAACGTATCATCAGTAATAGTCAACGATTGTAAATCTTTTATAATATTTGAATCATCTTCTGAAGAAGAGGAGGATCGATCATCTTCACCATCACTTCCACCATATAATTCTTGAGTATGTTTTGAATAAAGTACACATGTTGTACCTTCCTCACCAAAACGAATGGTAACCTCGCCGGGATCTGTAACAAAAAACAAAAAAAAAAACATTTAATTTTAAATCGATTTTAATATTTTTCAAAAATTTTACCAATCCAAATTGTAAATTCTTTTGGAAAATTTTCTTGTACATCGTTCAAACAAAAATTAGATTTGTGAAAAATTTTCTGTAGTACGGTATCAATTCGATTGTTCATTGATCGTAAACATCTATATGCTGTTCCTTTATTAGGATGATCTATAAATAAATGACTCAGATTTTTAGCAGATCATTAAGTCTTATTGAGAATTTATTTTACCTGGAAACCAATGCCCCATAAAACGTTTCGATAATACATCATTAAATATATGTTTAAATAAATCAACTTGTTTTACCGAAAATTTCATTTTTCCATTTAATAATTTCATCAAATAGTCTCCTGCTACGTCGATTTCTTTTGATGCCCCTGAACTACGAGTCATTTTTTAGCCTGTTTATTCTAGGTATTGTTAAAACAAAAGACAAAAATAGCTCAATCTAAAACAAATAAAATAAAATAAATTATCTATTACAAAACTGTTTATACTGGAAACACTAGCAGACTTATTTGAACTTATGATCAATATGACGAAGCATAAATGCAAATAAAATTGTTAAAGGTCAAAATATGTTTTCTTTTTTCATCAGCTGCTTTACCTAATACTAATCATTTTTTTTCTCCTTTTCTAACTATAGTCCATACCTCTCATTTTGTTTTTCGTTCTATATTATTTCTCGACCAATAGTGTTATGTATTTTTATGTACAGCTGTCATTTATTCGTCTGATTAGCTCATGTAGACATCTTGTTCATATACTGGTAAAAGTATATAGTACTACTCAAAAGTGGCTGCAGAAATGAAAGAGAAAAAACGAAAAAAAAAAGAAAAAAAATGGATAAATGATCTCACATGACGTTTAATCAAATAATCTATCAACCATAAATAGAAGTGTCACAAAACGAAAGAAAGAGAATAACAGTACTGTTCTACACAGGTACTATACTAATGTATTAAATTTAACGATAAATCAAATATTGATTATATGAATGCGCAAATTTTTTAACATAATCTATAAAATTCGAAGACCTATAGAGAAAAAACAAGTAATTTTAGCGAAGTACACATCGTAAATCAATTCATTAAAATGATTTTTGCTTAATACGAATAACACTGCATAATTAAGGTGAACGGAAAATTAATTATATTAAATTTCTATTTGTTGCACACCGAAACGATACCCGATACTTCATTATTATCTGACTACTAGAAAAAAATGAAACCATGTTTTTTTTCTTCAAAAAGCATAAATAATAGTGAAAATAGAAATATGACATACTAAATCTTCACTTTTATTCATAATTAGAAATGATGCATAGGAGAAAAAAAAAACGTCTTTACAATAGAAAAAAAATGAATAAACGGAAGTAGGCGTTATCGTCAGAATAGAGAAAAAAAATTATCGTATAGAATTAGAATAATGTGACAAGTTATATAGAAAAATATGATTATAAAAAAATTTAGAAGAACAGAAAAATATAGCGGTGTCAGGCGGCCGCATTTTCTTTTATCCTTTAAACAAACATAAATAGCCGAATAAATTTTTTTTTCTGAATAATTAGTTATGACAACACTAAATTAACCGCAGAGATTGAACTACTTTTTTACAAGCATCTCAAATGACTATGGAAAATGAACGATTGAAAATAATTTTTTATCAAAAGAATTGTCGAAAACAGTTCAAATATCGATCACATGAACAAAGAGGAATTGGCCGGTTTTTACGGGTAAAAATACTCTTTGTAAACTTTGAAAAGTACGATGATGAAAAGGCCGAAACGAGTGATGATTCTGTCAGTTTTGGCTTATTGAGGATCTTGATTCAAATAAATTTAGTAGTATCAGCTTAACGCTTAAAGCATAGAAAATGCACTTGAAATGCAAAATCTAATACGACTAAAGATTCTTAGGAGTCATTCTCGAATGATTTGGTTTACTATACATACCTTCATCAGGTACTTCTCCTTCAAGAGTATTTTGAACTATGGAAAAATACAGAACCAATTATATAGGCATTGCGATCCAAAGACGTATATTTAGTCTTACAATAAACTGAAAAAGTAACAACAAGATTCTACGTACTCTGTACCCATGGAATATCTCGAACAGGTTTTTATGATCTTACGCCTATGCACATTGGCAAACACGCAATAGTTTATTTTCCTATTGTTGTCGCTTTTTCCCTTTTTTTTTTGAGATAAAAAACTGTCGGAAGAAGAAATAATCTTTTTTTCATCTAAAAGTACTATTTTGTTAACTAAAGTTTTTTATTCTTGTGGCTATACGTGTGATAGACATGAGTTTCCTTTAATAGATCTGTATTACTGAAGAGGACCTCTTGTAGATTGTCATGTTTAAGACTAAGCCTAATTTATGCACGAAAAATGGGAGTCATCAAAGGTTATCGACCTATAATCACAATGACTCAAGGCAAACAATAACCAAAAGAAAATATAAATAGAGAAATAAAACAAAATATAAAAGTAGTGTATGAAGAGAGATACAAAAGAATAAAAACAAATAAACAAATCACGAGTAACAGCACTGGGCTTATTTTATAAGTGTACACATGGCTAAGTTCTACTGTGAATAGCGTTCTCGATCAGGGGTGCTGGTCCCTCCTTAAAAATATGTTTAGACGTTCAGGCATAATCTTTAAGGTTTCCTCGGCAGCTTTCTGCCAAAACTTTCGAAAATTTTTTTTCGCCAGCCACTTGCTGCGAAGCAAAGTTTTTAGTCCCTACCACCTCTGAGAACAACTAGAAACTCTGATTGTAAAAGATACTGAGATAGAACTATTTTAAATGACGATAATGAAGAAGAACTTAGTCTTATGGATCGTTCACATGTTTAGGATAATCGTTAATGGTCCATGAGCTGACCAGTGCTGCAAGACGTGCGTAGAGTCGATTGTATTAAAAAAAACATACTCATTGATGACTTTTTGTGAGCTTCAATCGCCACATACAATAACAGGAACGCGTTTTCCACTATTTTTCTCTCGACACAAGTCCAATCCAGTCCTTGGCTTACAAAAGTTTGCATGCAGTCCAGTTCGAATCCACTCAAAAAAGAGTTCGGTGCAGTATATCATAACTGCCCTATGAATTCATTTCACTCCAGGAGTGAAGTCAGGGCTCTGTTGCATATTCATTCAATTTCAGCTATCTAATAGATAATCAGCTGAAATGATATTATTTTTACAAGTGAAAACAGAAAACATTGCTCAATGAAAGATAACCTGAGAGACAAGTGGCAACCTCCTGTCTAACATCGAATCGAGACCGTACCTTTTTATTATTGCAGGTGCGAACCAGAAAAAAGTAATAACATTCATTTTTTTTCTTGATATCTGTATTACAACTTGTTATGTAAGCTTTAATGATTTAACGGCCATGGAATGCCGTTGCTACAACCTTAGACGTTTTTTTTTGGCAGTTTTTCCTTGCCTTAAATACATTGCAAAAGAATTGTAATCAATAATTATCGATTCAATGTAATTGTAATCGTCTAAATGTACTTAAACTATACTAATCATTTAAATAAATGTAGAAAAGTGCATTTATTTAAATCGCTAGTGTGGTCTAAGTATAGTGGATTTATACGATTACAAGCTCAATTTTATTTTGAATGGATAATTATTGATTACAATTCTTTTGCAATGTATTTAAAGCAAGGAAAAATTGCCGAAAAAAAACGTCTAAGAATCACCAAAGGAAACACTTTTTTTTTCTTGGCCGTTAGATCATAATGTTACAAAACTTTCATCAAGAGTTTCTCGTCTAAATAAGATTTAACACAACTCTATAAGATGAATTTAGAATGACTGGAAGTATCTATTGTATTTTGTAGCCAATTAGATCTTCATAACTAATGTGCAAGAGAGTCCGATAGATTTCGGAAGAAATGGCTCTTAAAAAAATACTACACGCATCATCTTCAATAAGTATATCAACGCAATAAACAAGTGACGTATGGATCGAGAAGTCAAAATCAACAAATAAATGATAACAGAAATACGGGACAATGTATGAAAGAATATAATGATCATTTACAATAACCAAAAAAAGAGTAGTGTACTTGTAACTAACTCACCAGACAGACATAAAGACAAAGAAAAAAAATATTTAGGGTAATATAAATATTGCAAAGCTATTTAACTGTATGAAAGTTGGCTAAATATTCAAAAGAAGAGTGGACACTGTGAAATACTACTTGCAAAACCAGCTTCAGAAGGCTAAAGACACCATGCAAACACAAATTTATTTTGCAGCAATCAGAATGATATGAGAATGAGTTTTTCTACGATGAGTCATAGATCAATGAAGTATCTATTCGTCGAATGATTAATCCAATAAATATTTTCTGTTGTGATATAGATTTTTGATTAACCTAAACTACTTCAGATCTGGTAGGCTATTAGATTTTTGAAACTATCTTTACTGGCTATTATTATCTTTTTCTTCGTGAAAAGTCTCTCTCCGTGTTTATTAACGTTGATTGGTCAAAAATTTTCAGACGATTACAAAGAATGGCGTCAGACTTTTGCTAAAAAATTGCACAAAAACTGTTTATGTCAGAGGAATTTTTATCAAGCAGTCGGATTCAATGAATATTTAACAATCTGTTCTGTTGAAAGAAAGTTTTGATCTTTTTTTCGTGTTAAGTGTTTCATAATCACTTTACAACAATTTTTCTCGGAAATATATTCTGAATGTCCTTACGTCGAAAATATTTTGATACTCCTATAAGTGAAGGATAAAAATTAAGGTGAAAGCCTTAGTGAAATCAAAATAAAAAAGCGAAAATAAAAAGATCATATCAGATGGACTTATCTTCTATTATCACCCAAGCAGCCAAAGAAGATGAGACGAACGCACCGCGTCCTACAGCATTGAGTTGTCAAACAAGAAGTTTGTTCCTATACAAAATCTTTTTCTCTTCGTTCAATGTTATTTTGTTTCGATTTAGCACGTGAAGGCAGAAAAAGACGACTTTTATCGCTTCTTTTGTGTTGCCTTGGTTATAGACGATCTCAAGGAGATGTTTATCTACCCACAAATGAAATTGCTATTGATCATGAGGTAAGACTGAGTGCAGAAAAAATTATATCAGATTTAAAAATTAGGAAACTAATGCGACTGTAATACTTTTAATTTTCTTTGAATATAATAAAGAATTTTTTAAACTTGTAACAAATGATAAATTAAATAATCACTGTTCGTTAAAGAATAATCAAAGTCTGAAATGTTTTCAAATTTATTAAACTCTTAATTGTGTTGAAAAACGTGAAGACTATTACAGACACATTAATTTCATAATTTTTATATATAATGTTGTGCTTTAATACAAATAATGTTATTGAAGAGCGCACTATAGATTTTTTTGAAACTATATATTTTAGCGTGTAGCGTTAAACTCTGATTTGAATAATCAATCTGAGGTAAAACAGGCATTTAAGCCATAAACACACACTCTTGCTGCTTTGGTTCTCAATAACATATATAAGCTTTCTTTTTCAACGTACTAATATTTGGATCTAACTCCAATATAATAGGCCATCACGTCAGAAAACGGATTAAGATCAATTGTACAGACTTAACCGTCTTACGTTCACTTTCTCAACGTTTAATAATCGTTGAGGATAGTTACTATAGTAGTAAAAGAAACAAAAAACTAATATATGGTGTTAGCGATGGGTTCTCATAATCAGACTACTATTATTTCATAATGCGTTCCTGTCTATATAGTTTTTATTTATGTTAACTAACAAAATAATGTGTGACTAGAATAATATGTTTCTGATCACATAATCTTTGTCCATAAGAGGTCCTAAATTTGTTATTTTTTTCTAATTAAAAATATTGTTTTCTGTTAGCCATCTGAAAAATATTTATTACCGGCTTTACGTGAAACTGAACGTACAAAAATCTGCCTCGTTATCGATCTGGATGAAACACTTGTTCATAGTTCATTTAAAGTAAGAAAAAACATATAATCTACATGAGATACGTTTTTACGTTTATATATTTTTTTGTAGCCTGTTCCTAATCCTGATTTTATCGTACCGGTGGAAATTGACGGCATCGTTCATCAAGTAAATACGTTTGTTAACGAGTTATTTTTGATTTAATAATTTTTATGTAATTTAGGTTTATGTAACTAAACGACCGCACGTTGACGAATTTCTTCAGCGTGTAGGAGAATTATACGAATGTATTCTGTTTACAGCAAGTTTATCAAAGGTATTTATCTTCACTCATTTATTCATATAAAAATTTAAAATTTTTTTATTCTCTTTTAGTATGCCGATCCAGTTGCAAATTTACTGGATCCAAATAATATTTTTCGTGCCCGACTCTTCCGAGAATCATGCACTTATTACAACTGTAATTATATCAAAGTGAGTTAATCTAAAAATATGTATCATTATTAGAATTTAAACTTTTCGTTTTTTAGGATCTTAGCCGTCTTGGACGAAATATTCATAAAGTAATTATTATTGATAATTCTCCTGTATCATATATATTTCATCAAGATAATGCTGTACCTGTTTCGAGCTGGTTCGACGACATGAACGATATGGAATTACTTACATTAATACCGATATTTGAACGTTTAGCATTAGTTGATGATGTTATACCGGCACTTCAAGATCTTCATCATCGACGATGTTGAGCACGTTCTTTATTGCGCGTACCTTTATTTGACTTAGAATTAGACAAAATTTTGTTTTTGTTATTCTCTATTGATGTTGTTGTTGTAGTTTTCATCGGCCCGGTAAGAAAACGAAAAAAGATCTCTTTGTTTATCTTCAGTAATTCTATGTTGTGTATACAGTGCCGTTCGTCTTTCTTTCTTTTGTTTTTTGTTGTTGTTGTTATTTTTCTTCTTTTTGGGGATAGTAAAGTGTTTCTATTTTAGCGCTTATTTTTTTGATTATTATTTTGTTGTTTTTTTGCGTTTCACACTACACAAAATACTGCACATTTTTTTCTATTTGTAATACCAACATATTCTATGCAAATGAAAGAAAAAACATGGGAAAAACTTAGCTTTTTTCATCATTCCTTTCTCCCTTAATTTTTTTGGGAATATTTATTGTCTTTATTTTTGCTTAAATTGATCAAATTAAAAAAAATATATTATGCACACACACGCATCTATAACAAAGAATCACGTGTTTGTGTTAATTTTCGTCAATTAAATAACACTTTTTTCTCTCGATGTACATAAAAGATATCTTACTATATGTAAATATGTTTAACTACTTTACACACATCTCAACGAGCGTTGCCTTTAATGAACTGTCTCTCAATCCTTATTTTTTCTCTGTTTTGTGAACAGTAGTTTATTTTTCTTGTACTGCTAAGTTAAGTGTGACGAAGAACAGTTTCTTTAGCGTCTCCCTCCCTTTCCGAACAGAAGAGAATGTATACAGATACTAGATTCTTCGCAAACGACAGCATGTCTTCCCAACTGATTACTTATCCTTTCTTTGTTCTTACTTTTTGGTGCTATATTTAGGAGTGTTTTTTTTTTTATTTCTATTTTCTTTTGCATACATAGAATTGAATACACATGTACACACTACTTTTTTTCTTATCGTTGTTATTTTTTGTTGTTTATTACATTTCTAGGTATGTATTCACACATTGTTCTTCTTTTTTTTTGCTATTTGTGAAAATGTTGTCATAATAAGCAAATGAAACACATCATGAATGACATGATTTTCTGCTTATTTCTTTATATTATTGTTGCTGTTGTTGTTTATTTCTCGTTGTTTATAAAACCAAATTGAGCGCGTGTGATGATGGTTTTTTTTTCTTGTTTTCGTTTGATTTTTTTCGAATGGTTTTTGTTTCTCTTTTTGTCATACAAATAAAACATAAATGCAAAGATAGTTGCATTGTAAACGAATAACCTGAGTGCGCTGCTTAGTTATGGATACTTTTAGGACTTGAAGATTAATTTCACATAGTTTGGAGAATAAACATGTTTGGCCATTGTGATGTAGTGTATATATATGCGATGATTTTGTTGATTCAAATACTTAATTTCTTGTTTTAGATTAATTTTGTTGCTAAGATGGCGAAAAAAGCGATTGATAAAACTGCACTTCGTCAGTTGATGAAACAAGAAAAACAGAAAAAAATTGACTCTCCTTTTGCCAAGTCAGTGTACATACAATACAACTGTTCTTGCATCTGTCTTAGTTGATATTCTATTATAGGTATACGGGAACCGGACAATTATATTGTGCACTATGTGGTCAACAGTTGACAAATGAGATGTTCTGGAAAGCACATGTAAATGGAAAAGAACATAAACAAGTAGGTCTTATGTTTTAAAATATTATTTGTTTTTTTCATCGTGATTGAATGTTTAGAAAGTACTCGAATTAAAATCCAATATAACATCAACGTCTTCAACAGCGGTTACAAAGCAGCAGACGTCCTTTGTTAAACCATCACCACCGCCACTACCATCACCACAACAAAAAGGAACAAAGAGGCCTTATGAAGTAGGTATGTATGTTTAAATGTTTTTCGCTTTCCTGCGTAAACCACAAACAATTTTCATCTAGGCTTATTTTCGATTGTTCAGAGTCAAGTCATGCCGTGGTTGTTGGAAAACCAACGTCTGGAAAAACTCAATTGAAAAATTCCGCCCTACCAGATGGTTTGTATTCTGCGTTTATCTTCACTAACACTGATTGCTAAATTTGTCAATGTTTTCCAGATTTTTTTGATTCTGGATCCACGAAACCAGTAACACCAATTAAGTCTACAATCACATTAACAAACAATACTAAAGAGCCACTAACAACGTCAGTTACCGACATTTCGGCACTGCCTGAAGGATTCTTTGATGACCCACATGCTGATGCACGAGTATGCTTTTGTTTCTTATATTGTCTGAATGTAAATGAATTTGGAACATGTTATCTGCCTAGGCACGTAAAGTAGAATATGTAGACAAGATGGAAGTTGAATGGGAAAGTTTTTTAAAAGAAATGAAACAAGAATCACATGTAGGTAAAAAGTTATTATTAAAGAAAAGAGTTATAATTAAATGTAATTATTGTAGGTTTCAGACAAACTAGAAATGGTGGATGATGCAGAGAGAAATGTTGACCGTGATATAAAAGAAACAAATGACTTGATGTAAGAGAAAATGAATAGGTTCACTAGGTAATCTATCTATGCTTTCCCTGTATCTATTTTAGAGAGCGTTGGCAAAAAATTGAAGATATGCATGTAAAGAAAGAACAAATTTTAAAAATTTTCTCCTTAACTACAGCGAAAGAGAGTAAGCGCATTTTATATTTATCAATAATAATAAGTAAAAATCTGTGTTTGAATTCAGAAACGCAACTTAAAGTTAATAATGAAATTAATGACGACAATATAGATGAAGATGATGAATCGATTTTGGAAAATGAATTACAAAATATTTACAATTGGCGTCAAAAACGTTCGTAACGGTTATAAGCTAAAATGGACTACTAATGTTTCTATATGATTAATCTCTTTTTTTTTTCGTGTTTGATTTTTTTTGTAAACAAAACAAAAATATCTCAATCTAATTAAATGATCCATTTGCAAATTTCATTTTACAAGTTGGTTAACTTTAGTATGACTGAAATGCAGTTGACGTTTAACTAATTCAAAGATAAACTTTGTGTATTTTACGGCAGATTATGCACAAAAGGCGCAGTTATGGCTGTACTTGAAAAAAGATTAACGAAAAACGTATGCAGTTAATATGATTTATCTGCAATTTTTTCTGGCGTAATCAAATTAGATCTTCTCATCTTTTTTACTTATTCTCTGAATCTTAATAAACTACAGGTTAAAAAAGAAATGCTGAAAGATTAATTTTTAGATATCGTTACACATGAGTGATATAGACGATTTACTCGACGATATTGAGGCTAATCTAAGAAAAAAATCAAATTTAAAACAAGCTGAAAAGAAAAAAAATGTTGCACATAGCGATGATCTTATCAACGATCTTGATGTTTTTGATTTAAAACTTGATAATCAGCAACGATTACCAAAAAACAAGAATCCTTTGGTATCATCGTCTACTACCACAAATAATGAACAAAAATTGAAATGTTTTCCAATTTATCTATCTGGTACATCAACGGAACAGAACAAAGAAGAACATACCTGCAACAATTTACGTTGTATACAATGTGATTTTGATGTTCTTAGATTCAATGATTCTGAGTGGACGTCAAATGTAGACTATTTATTTTTCCGAAATCACATGCCAGATAAAAAAGCTCTGAAGCAACGTTTGAGAACTAAGCAGGGTTGTACCGCATATGCATGCCAATGTCAATGGATAAATATCAACAGTTTGACAAATATAACAGCTCAATACAAAGAATTAAAGTGGAGTTGTATGAAACATTAAATCAAAGTTGAAAGTATTTAAAATATTGTGTTAAAAGCGATAGATCTAACTCTGGCCTTTCTATGAGAGAACATGAAAATGAATAGATCTTTTACCGTCCCATAAACGACTTCGCCAAAAGAAGAATTTTTGTATTCTTCATTATAGTTGTGCATTTATGTCGTCTGTGATCGTGAAGGTTCTTTTAGTAGGTGTTGTGTATTAAATTATTTTATACAAGTTAATTATTAAATTATTTGTAATACAAGGCGAACAAATCGTTAAGAATTTTTTTAACTGATTTTTTTTGTTGATTACATTTAAAGTTTAGAAAATAGTAGTGGGTTTTCCTTTTTCCATGCCTCTTGCAGATTAAATTTGAATTATGCCAACTATACATGAAACAAATGATCTGAATGAAGCCATTGATATTGTTCAGGATGAAAATAAAGTAATGTTGAAAATTCAGCTACTAATTTAGCGCATATCTATTTGATGTTATTGCTTTTTTAGAGATACCCATTTATATTGCATAACTTCGATATTGGACCCTGTCGACAAAAATGGACGTGTGATTATTTAGCATCCAAAATTGGTTCAAAACCTGTTCGAATTCATGTTTCACAAGAACCAATACTGGATTTTGTTCGAAAAAATTTTACATATGAGTAAAGAGGTTGATTGCAAAGGACAATAGACCTATTTCTTAGTCCAAAATTCCTTTCTTTTTTTACAGAACACTGCCTTTCGATGAAGTCGTAAGACGTTGTGAAAATGTTACGAATGAGAAATGTTTCGTATCACCGACCGAACATTATTATTTTCGTGCATTAGGCGAGAATGTACGCACGGATATTGCGAATATAGAGTACGTAGTAAAAACATACTCAAAAATTATCCGACAAGTTCACAAAAATGTATAAACTTTATAGAACACATTTTAACCTATCGAAAATTCGAGTAGGCAAACTGTGATCTCAAACTATCTTATGTAATTCTTACATTTAATTTCAAAAATATAAGTTTAAAAACCTTTTTGAATTTCAAGTACTTCAAGCTATAACAGTGATGCATTAGCTTGCAGCAAATTATTAAGCTTAAAAACTGAATAAGTTTGAGTGACTTGATCATGAATAATAAAGAGATTTTTTGATGAATTTCAAATCGATTCTTTAGCAGAAACTCATCGATGTACGTACAGATTCTTTAGATAGTAAAAGCATGAATTTATTTTGGCAAAAGTTTTTTTTATTGATAACCGACGATCCAAAAGTAATTGGACAAATGTCAAGCATTATTTCTACATATTCTGGATATGCTACAGAGTCAACTGTTTTTCCGTTGGAAAGAGCAAAATCTGACCTTCAAAAAAAAACATAGAAAACACGATCTTTTTGTAATTGAGTTTGAGCAAGAAACAATTTAAATGTCAAACGTCGTTCAAAAAGTACTTGTAAATTACTGAGAAACTTTCAAAAGTAGAGTAAACGATATAATTTTGCACATACTACATTCTCGTCTATTTGGTTTTTAAAACAGCTTTTTTTCCCTCAAACTATAGCGAAAAAATAAAGAAAGTGGCACTTTACAACAGCTTTTTAGATGACGTTTGACATTTAAATTCTTTCTTGCTCAAACTCAATTACAAAATGTTTTCTATGTTTTTTAAAGGTCAGCTTTTTTGCTCTTTCCAACGGTGGCTTTGTCTCAACAATCTAGCCTTACACAAAGAATGCACACACTTTTGTTATGTAGACAAGTATTCTCTAAAGCGTTTATATCATTAAAAAATCTTGTGCTGAAGTTGAGCATATACATTAGAAAGAGTACTCAACAAAATGCACAATTCTCATCTCTCTGCGAAATAAATTTTCTTTTACTCGTTACATAAAAACTCAAGCCTTGGAGGGGCAGTTCAAATTTCCAAGACTTGAACTTTTCTGTAATGAAAAAGCGGTTTTAAAACAAGTCGAGTTTAAAATATCAAAATCACATGTCTCTAATAACTTTGGTTCTTATAATACAGTATTAACCTTAATCTCGATGATACTTGTCGGATAATTTTATGGTTCACCATTTGTCATTGACAGAGAATGTAAAATTTAGACATGTTTTTTCATTCTTTGTTAGAAAATCATTTCCATCCATCGTTGATGACATTCGCTATCCACCGTTGTTCTCTAATGAACAACTGTTTTCCAGTGTATTCAGAATTGGATCGCCCAATACAACACTATGGACACACTATGACATTATGGATAATATTCTAATTCAAGTTCGTGGTTCCAAGCGTCTCATTATGTTTCCGCCTGGAGATATTTCTTATTTATACATAGATGGTGACAAATCATTAGTGGCAAATCTCGACAGTATTGATGATGAAATGTTCCCACTTATTAAAAAGGCAACATTTTACACTGGGACACTTCAAACCGGTGATTGTCTATTCATTCCTGCACTTTGGTTTCACAATATTAAATCATTAGAAACGGCTGTGTCTGTTAATGTATTTTGGCGGCATTTACCCATAGAAATGTATGAATCGAAAGATATATACGGAAACAAAGATCTAGTACCATTCAGTAAACAATTTGGACAATTAACAAAATGTGTTAATGAAATAAACAAACTACAAGAACCATATGCTGATTTTTATTTGAAGCGGATGCTTTTATATATGCAGAAATCTATTGAAGACAGAAAGAGGATACAAAAGGAGACATAGACATCATAAAACTCTAATTGTTCTTTGTTATTTTATAATAAAAATGTGAAAGTCGCGCAAACTGAATAGAAACATTTCAAGTGACTAGAAGAAGAATATCTTCAGGAACAATCACTTTACATTATAAATAACATCAATTTTGCTAATGGTGCTTTAATACCAAATTTTCTTTTTGTTTAATCGATCAGTTTTGGTTTCATAATGATTTTCTCTTTTCTTATTTACAAAACGTCACTGGTAAAGTTTATCACACCGAACTGTTTCGAAGCTATTGATCTTTATGGCGAGATTTGTTAGTCTAAATAAAAAACAGATGGTTTTTTGATGTTTTGATCTAAAGAAGAAATTTTTTTTTCATGAAAAAATTCTCTCATTTTCACCGTATTCATTCTGCACAATTAAAGACTATTTTAAAATACTGAGAAGGTCTTTTGATTGTGTTTGAACAACCAGCATTTGTGTCTGTCAACGTTAGAGAGGACTATTTATCCATGAAAAGTGTTTAAACCCTTAGCTTCTCGTATAAATCTAAGTTAGCAGAGCATTTAATCCCTTCTGGGTCAAGACTAAATACGGGTTGGCGAGCTCAAAGCGTGCCATTTCGTGATATTTATTAAGAAAAAGAAACAGAATAATTAAGAAAAAGTACAGATTAGTTCAAAACGGTATTTATGGATGAAAAAAAGAGAGCGAAAATTTTGTACGGACAACTACCTTTTTTGTTTTGATTTGATTGCCCTGCTAGAGTAACTGTTTATGTCAGTAATTATAAGAAAGTCACTGAGAATAAGAAGGATGAGTCGAGGAGATAAATAAAGTAAGTGCGTCAAGCATTGAAGAACATTCTCTCATGCAGTAAATGCAAATTTGTATTGTATAAGAGATAAATAAATCTCAAACACACGCGCAAAGATCAGAAGATCCTGTGTGCCTGAGCAAACAAACAAAAATACAACTCGACACCAGTAAAGGTCCCTAATGCTTGTGTACATTGCTGAAACATACTATAACTATAACTAGTAGTTAAACACGTTCTATGGGGTAGAGAATTCTAAACATTTTCTGTTTGTATCGAAACTGAATTCTGTTTAAACCCCTTAGAACTCTCCATCTCCATTCTCGACTTCGAAGGATTATCCAGCCTGTAGAATGAGTTTATAAATTCAAAATTAACAATCGCAAATGGAAGATTTTGATACGTCCAAATTGTAGAACGGGTCAAGTTACATATGTGCAAAACCTTCTTACGAAGATAGAAAAAATTAACCTTTTCAGTTCGATGGATTTTACAGTTTTACAGCATTTAGTACTTCTCATAGATCTCATATCTCTGTGAATACTTGTTCGTTTGGTATAAAAAATTGTCACGTGTATAGCTCGACTCGCTCTACAATCCGGACGTATCGGAATCACTTCACTCGAAAGTTTCGGATGACTTGATTTTTACAGAACGATACCTGAAAGGCCTAGCAGACTGATTGAGTAACAACAGACATTGATCCGTGGTCAGGATAGAAAAAGCAGTTTATTATCTGAGGAGGTTAGCCCTATTAGAAGTTGCATGGTTCGAGAAGTGAGCTAGGTTTATTTTGTCTTATCCTAAAAATGCACAAGTGGCTCTTAGAGAAGAAGTCTCAAGCTCTCACCTCAGAAGTGGACGGAAGTGGAATAAGCGGATTATGTGAAAAATCATAAGATCACCAAAAAAGACAAGAAACCGAGAGCCCCTGACCAAATTTCTCATGTATCTGGCACCCGCTAGAAAGCGAAAAGATTTTTTCTATCGTCTATAGATCGACTGAGCTGGATGTTTTCTTCTGCTTGCTAGCGTAGTTGAACATACTTCATAGACTACAAATCATGTATGAGGGTTTACTTAGAACAAGATAATCAATGCTTTTAATCAGTGTAGCCAAGTTGCACATTCAATATCTGATACGGGTCAAGAGAAAAGACAGAAGTTGCTCCATTTTTTTGACTTCTCGGTCCTTTAAAATTTTAATATAGCATACATACTGGACGGTTATAAGTTTAAAATATTTACACCTTTTTGTGGTTCTTCAAAATACTCTTTTATTAAACAGAGGTGCCTGCCATAGCGACGGGAGAAAACAACAAACAAACAAAGACAGATACCAGCAGACAATACCATTCATTAACCGGTAACACCCTTTTTTGCCTTTTGTTACACGGCTGTGCTTGAACCTCGTTTGATGGGTTGATATTACCTCTCTATCAGAACACATTTAATAGTCGATTTTCAAATGTCTTTAGCCGTTTGTGTCGATAAGTTACCTGCTGAAGAAAGTGACACTTTTTAGCAGATTTTTTTTCTTTCGCTTTTCGTTTATCATTCATATGTTACCGTTCGAATTTGTATTTTAGATAAAAACTAAATTTGACTAACAGACGGTAAAATTACGGTCAAACAAATGAAAAACTAATTTCATGATTACACATCGGTTGCACCGAATCCTTAAAAGAAAACATTAACAAACCAGTGCATAGAACATCAGCAAAAGCGTTCATTTAATGACTATACGAGGATACTACGAGGAGATAATGGAAGTGAGGATACTAATTAGAGAAAAGTAATATTTGAACTGAGCTCTTTATCCTTGTTCAAAATTACAGATATATTTCATGCGTTGGCCACTTTGACTGTCGCTGGTCTGTGAATAACAGAATTTCTTCGTGTCAAATTTAATTGTGCTAGAGTGCTGGTTTTTGAACGTGGTAAATTTCGTTGTAGTAGTTTTTTTGCTGTACCTCCGACAATACTATTACGTCTAGTTGATACTATCGAATCTGTTTTTTGTTCATTATCTACAACAGGTGGTTTAGATTCAAATGGAACGGTTGTTCGATAAGTTGAACTACGATGAATGTTGTATAAATCGATTATTTGATCAACATCTTGCTGCCAGAGATGATGTTGTTTATGGAACAAATTTCTTTTTGTTCGGTTTTTTTCGCTATTCGAATCTTTTGGTGTTGTTTTAGAGACAATAATTGGTTCAACATGTGTGCCAAACAAATCCTTTGCATTTAAACCAAATAATTCTTCCGGATTATTGTAGAGTGTACTAGAGTTTGCTTCACGTATTGTACAACTGTCCGGCGGTGTTGATGCTCTCGTTGTATTTGTATGTAATATAGCTGATATAGGTCGTCCAGCGTAGATCATTTGAGAATAGCTTTCATCTGACAAGGCTTTATTAGAAAATGGCATCTGTTTATGTGTAACTAATGGCGCTGATCGAACGCGTTCAATATGTTTAGTTGTTTGATTTTTTTGCGGTGTTGGTGATAGAATATTTTTTGGTGTTACCAATTTATCACGATTAGGTATGTGCTGTTTCAGAGATGAAAATGTTCTCTTAGAATGTTCTTCTTGAGTGGGAACGAGTGGTGGTTTCCCTGAACTAAGTCGTGATGGCTGATCGAGTTTCTTAATTCGAACTGTAGACGATGGTTTCAGTACAACTTGTGCGGAAAACTCACTTTTCATTGATGTTGTACCAAATGAAATTGATGATGGATGAAATTCACCAATATCGGTCGTTTCCGTGGTAGAATAGGGTTTATACGTACTTACACTTGCTTGAAAATTATCGTTCTGTTTCTCTGATATTTTACCTCTATCAGTTGTCTGAGTACTATTCAAGGATTCTAAAATTATACAAAATCAAGGATTATCAAATTTAGCTCAATGAAGGTAAGTAAGTTACACACGTACTTGTTATTGTCCCGGAGTGATCGGGATCAGACCTAAAATCATTAATAATATATGTTTATCTATAAGCATACTCAGATGTAGTAAGAGTATAGTTTCTGTTTTAAGCAATTAAATATTATAAGTGATTTAGATGAGAGAGCTACTTACGAATAATTATCGGATAATGTTTGCTTGCTTAACGATGATTGTTTCTGTAATTCTAATTTTTTCATTAAAACATCAATTTTTGCTGTTGATGGTCTGTTATTAGTTTTCAAAATATCAAATAGATTATTATCATCATGTATGATCGTGTTAATCGCATTTGAAATAGTTTCACTTTCTTTTTCATTTGTTTTTGAATTTTTCTGTAGATTAGGATGTTGTTGAAGCATCAATTGTAGACGTGGACTTAGTCGTTCTCCATTTGTTTTTTGTTGTTGATCTTCATCATATAATTTTATTTTTTGTTCTTGATTAACAAGTGCTTCGGTACTAGCATATTCATTTATTGACTTGTGTGATGCTGATTTTAGTCGAATAAATTCAGCTGCATATCCTTTATCATTTAAATTAATTCCATTTGTAACATGATGAAGTCGAGTTTTTGTTAATTTTTTTGAATGACGATCATTTTTAGCTAGACGATTTTCTTCAACCATGTCATGTAATCGTGTCGAATAATTAGTATCAGAATCATTAAAAATTATTTTTAATAATCCAAATGATAATGTTGCCGGCTGTGTGGATTTTTGTCGAAATTTAGATGTACTCATTTTTTTCGATTCTTTTTTGTCATTTTGTTGTGATAATTCAAAAATTGAGGGTGAACAAGGTACAACAAAAAATTCATCTGCATCACGATGTGTAATGGTGTTAGCACAATCAATATGTCCATATTTTAGTGCAAGTACAGCAGCTGAGCAACCTTCTTTATTTATACATTGATCTAATTGTATACCCTTTTTTTCGGCAGCTTCAATTAACATCTCAGCTATGTAACTATTACCGGTTATTGCCGCATAATGTAAACATGTACATCCTTCACAATCTTTTGCTTCAATATTAAAATCTATACATGTTAAATAAAGTTCAACTAATTCATCACGTTGCAATGCACACGCATGATGTAAACTAAAAAGATATATATTATTTATGTTTTTATTTATATTATGTTAGAATTTGATAAATAATAAGATAAATATACCTGTTTCGTCGTGCATGATCTTCTAACGCGATTCGTGCACCTTTCTCAAGTAAGTTTTGAGCCAATGATAAACGCCATTTAGCATTTTCCACATAGGTACATAAAATTAATGTTGTTCGAAGATTATTATCTCGTTCATTTGGATCATATCCTAATTCTAATAAATATCTTACACATCGAAAATAACCATGTTGAATAGCAAATGTAATATTAAAATATTTTGGTATTGCTATACTTGTTTTTGATGATAATGATTGCTTTTCATCTGACAATTTTCGAAATGTTTTAGTTGTATGATGAAATGCAGTTGATTTTGATGTTGTTAATACAGACATTTTTAAATAAAGTTAACACAACTAATTTTTATGAGAAGATCGATTACATTCTAAATTATGAATAAAAAAATTTTTTTAATGATAAAAAGAAATTAACAATCTATTGATTATGTTCATTCAAATTGAGTTCGTCATTTTTTTTTTCTGTATACTGTCTGTATCTCAACTATAATTAGACAAAATTTGATATTTTTCTTAGCAAATTATGACAACAATTATGTTAAAGATAGCAATCGTCTACTAAATATACGTATGTATATTTATATATATATATATATATATATCCATGTTCTGTTAAGAGGATAATATATATATTTTTTTGTTTTATGGATCATGCTCAGATATATAATTAAACAGTGTAAAGAGAATAATGACTTACATAATGACACGAAGAAAATAATTGAACAATAAAAGATTTACATATTTTTTTTATAATAGTAGTAGAAAAAAAGGCAAACGATGGATTGTTGGAGAAGAAATAAAGAAAGAAAATCAATGTCGTCGTTTATCGTTTATATACATGTACAGTAAAATAATAATAGAATGAAATCAAATAAAAACAAGTATTTTAAGTTGAAAATGAAAAAAAAATTTGCTATTTTTCTTCTTTTTTTTTTACAGTGTATGTGTGTGTGTGTGTGTGTGTGTGTGTGTATGTATGTATATATATATATTTGTTTGTTTTAACGCAGTGATTTTTGATTAGGTGTAATAGAGAAGAAATTTTTGTTTTGTGTATCATTCATATATATTATGTTTACATATGTTCACCTATAAAGTAGAAGTGATCAAGTTGATTCATAATTAATATGCATACATCTTTCACCTTATTAACAAATGAAAGAATATACAATACAGAATTTTTAAAATAGTACTACCTATATTTAATCGATAAGTATGATCTAAAAAATCTCAAATATTTGCCATTCTAATCGTGTTATCGAAAATTGATGAGATAAAGATATTAAAATCTTTTCTCTATTTTTAATAATTACCCATTATTTTTATAAAATAATTAAGTAATTTACCTTTAGATTTTAGAGAATTACTTGAATTATGTATTTTAATAATATGCAAAGTGAAATAGCTTGTAGTTTTTTTTTTGCTTTTACTTGTTTAATAACTCACTCTTCCTTACAATAAGTTATGTTGTTTAAAAACTAAATACCTTCTGCAAAGAATAAGGTGATCTCGCCTATTTTATAGTACAATCACAAGCGTTTTGTATTGACATAAAAGAAGAAAATAATTCGAGGCGGTAAAAGAGCACTATATATACAAACGGAAGAATAAGCCACATAAAATACAATAACGGTGGTAATGATTAAGACTCTTTTCCTCAACCATATTGGTGACTTAATTAGATTGAGACGAAAATTATAACTTGCATATCTATTGACTGTGACTAAAGCTGAAATGTTTCGTATAGAGGTGAGTAAACCTTCTCTCAAAATAGAAGGACATGATTTTCTATTTTGTCTTTGCGAATCATGATTTTCTAATGCGAATGGTGTTCTGTTTTGTGGTGAAATATTTATCTGATAGTGCCCTTCTAGTAAAAAATTCAAATAGATCGTTTTTTCACATTATAAACCTACTTGAACAATCAACCATTTTTGCATCTATTATACGAATCAAGACTGATAAAGATCGAAATTTATTTCATAGAAAAAGTCGTACATATGTAATAATTAATCGATGATAGTTAATCCCAAAATTTGAAAAAATATATATGCTATTTTCTCTTTATGTGATGATAATAGAGACGAAAATTATCAAAAAAAAAAAAATTTAACAATTCTTTGTTCGTTTATTCTCTCTTTCTCATTCTTTTACTCTTCTTTCTTCTCAATTCGAATGTTTGTATTAGTCTATAATGTATTTAAAAAATACCTTTGTGACTTTTTAGAAATACATAATGTGAAAAAAAAGTATCACAATACTTAAAGCATAAGTTTGACTTTTTTTCTCTTTGAAATCTTTGTGGATATATCAAAATATGTGCAAAGTACACTTGTATAACAAAACGACACTATTAAAAGAAAAAGTAACTGCAACACCTATATATAGTTACTGTGCAAGAAATACAGACTAAGAATAATAAACAACACGTTATTGAACAGCCATTGTGTGATCATCCATCTTTAAGTACAATTCTTTTTAGACAGTTTTTATTTTTTATTTTTTATCAAGTAAGTATGAATGTTCCTCCACTAAAATGTCACCGTTAGGCATTCTTTTTTTTTTGACAGTATAACGATCGTCTATGAAATTAGGACTTTCTCATCTCTTGTAGTCCCCTGTCATGACGAGAAAGAAAGAAATGTTAGATTTTTTTTTTTTTTTTTTATGTTTATGCCTATGTCCAGCTGTTTTATCCGCCTTTCACGGAAAATACTAGGCTTGATTCAATTAATCTCCAGTCCAAAACTGTTATTAATATGGATGCTGCTTTTATCAAACGGTTAGTTTTTTCTAAATTATTGGCTCTAAATCGATTTAATGTCCAAAACTGTTAGATCAACAAAAAAAAGGAAATTTGTGCAAATAGTAAAAATTTAGACAAAAAACATGACTTTTAAGTTAAAGTTGGATTTTCTCAGTGGAACACTTAAATCCGGTTATTTATTATTATAAATTTGTGCAGAACATACTGTGATATGTCCAATCGATCCTCGTGACAAAGGAAAAGGGATGAATTTTGATAGGTGATAAATGGTTACAGGGGACTGTCTTGTACCAGTCTTGATGCGAATTAGTTGTTTTGTTTTCCTGACTGTTATTTTAATTGACTAGATACATTTCATACATGTACTGCTACTATATAAAGAAGAAAAAAACATAATTCGATTATGAAAAATATCTTTTTTTTGTTTTGCACGTTAGCAAAAAAAAAAAACAGAAGAAAGACTGAACGACGTATACGCACATATTTAAAACAAAAATGAACACCCATTCTTAGCAAAGGTAAACTTTCCAGTAGTCTTTTGACATAGAGTAAAGAAATAGGAGAGAGAATAAATTAACCATAAAAAAAACAAAAAAAAATGCAAAAATAGAACTCATCAAATATTATAAAAGAAACTTTACAAAACAAACAAAAGCAAAATGAAAATCAAATGACACTGTTTTTTTTCGGTTTTAAATTCTTATCTAGTCGTAATGCTTCTCTAATAACTTAAAATACTATTTTATTATCTAATTAGTTTATTCTTGTCAATGTCCTCATCTATTTATATATAGTAGTGAACTTTTTTGCACCGGAACTATTATATTAGATGTCTTCAAGAGACATTTATCAATTTAGTCCGTTTTTATACCACATTAGTAACATATCTGTTCTTTTGAATGACACAAATTCGGAGTTAACGTATATGTAACAACATATAGTACCATCCTGATACAAAAAGGACAAAAGAGATATAACAAAAATAAAAAATAGAAAAGAAAATAACACAGTCTCTTAATACATTTTACTGCAGAGTTCGTTTTTACATTACCAACACGTTATTCAAATTAAAAATCTTAATTTTTTTTCACTTGTGCAAAAAATGCACTGGGACCTCTGTTTGTTTGTTTAAATAAATTAGCATGACATACAGCACAACGACTAACATGTTGACGTTGTTGTCCAGCTTTTAATGTCAATAGTTTTGGTTTTTCAAAACCAGAATATTCATCTAATGCCGCCAAATAAAATGACATCATATTTGGATAAAAATTACAATGTGAATGATCTTTACAATGAAAGTACGGACGATCTATATAACTTTCTAAACATGAACCTGGTGATTGTAAACTTTGTTGATCACCTCGACCACCATCAGCAGATGTAAAGACAAAACTATAACCAGTCCACAATTGATCATAACCATCGGGACATGCGGGAGGTCGTTGAGATTGACTATGGACGGCGAATACCTAAAGTATAAATTACCTATAGAATAATTTTTACAGGGAAAACTGATAAACTAACGGGTGATGGTGATTCACAGACAACACATCGACTAAGATAACTTCTTATTTCTTTTGGCTCGAATGTCGACATGGAATTTTTCATTGGTTCATTTGTTGCTAGCCAATAAGAATAATCATTTCTCGATGCATAATGACAAGTATTGTGGATATCACAAAATAAAAACGGCATGGCACTAAATCGACTTAAACAACTACCAGGACCACCTTTGAACATACACAAATAATTGAATAAATACACATATCTTTAGTGAAAGATGCCTCTTACCTAAATCTTGATGAGCTGCGTATGTATCGCCTTGAATACCCATGAATGAAAATCCATCGTGCATTGTTTGTGTGGGCGATGGACAAGTGGGTATTGTTGTACCTTGGCTATGTCTAAAGAGAAATTTTTAAAGTATTATAGAATGAACAATTTTTTTACAGTACAGAAATGTTTTTTTTTAGAAATACCTTGCAAAGATGAATGATCCATCACTCTCTCCAGGATGGCCTTGGCTACCAGCAGGGCCTTAACAAACAATAATTTGTACAGTCAACTGTTGAAATTATTCTATTAAGTAGCGTATAGCTTACCAGGTGCGCCCGGCAATCCGTGGAATCCAACACTTAAAAAAATAACAATACGTTCAATCTAACTCTTCTAAGCTATTGTGTCAAGGACTTACGATCCTTGTTGTCCAGCGTCGCCCATCGGTCCTTTTGGTCCTGAACCGCCCGGTGCGCCTAGAGATAAACAAAGTGAAAATGAACACATGTTTAACGACTGTATCAAACTAATGTTCGCAGTACTTCACATAATTATTTACCTGGAAGCCCTGCCATGCCTGTAAGTCCAACATTTCCTTTTTGACCACTTACACCTGGGCCACCAGGACGACCAACAGGGCCTAAAAGTCGAGAAGATAACTTAGTGAATTACTGGCTAAATTGATTTCAGATTAGTTTTCTGTAACGTCGATGGTGTGAAAGATAAATTTTACCTGATGGTCCTGGTTGACCTGGTTCTCCGCGTATGCCCGGTGTTCTGTATGACTATACAAACAAAATACAGTAAGTTTTCGTTATGAACTAAGTTAAACAATGTGTACCTGCACGCGTGTTTCTTCTCCTTTTGGTCCGGGAAGTCCACTTCGTCCATCACTACCCGGGAAGCCTTTATAAAAAAATAGTTTTCAAAAATGAATAAAATAAATTTTACTCGAAAAACGTTTTTGATTACCTGCATCACCTGGCTGTCCTTTATATCCAGCTTGGCCCGGAAATCCTAAAGAGATGATTAACTTGTAGTTTTAATTGCCTCTTGATATAACCTATCTTAAAGAACGGCTCAATATGTTCTTGAAAGTCATTCTATAACTTACCGTTATCTCCGTCATAACCTGCTCGTCCTGGAAGACCCCTGTTGCCTGGTGTTCCTGGAAATCCCTAAAAGGAGTAATTTAGGTATAGTGATTACTGATAGTAACTATATAAAGATCATTGACATATATTTGTGCTCAAAATATAATTACCTGCATGCCTTTCAAACCAGAACTTCCTGGAAGTCCTGGTAGGCCATCTTGACCATTAAGTCCGGGCGCTCCTAAAACGAGTAATATCTTGTTGTTAGAATGTGTTTATCTCTAATATGTCATTTTATTCTAAAAACAACCGTTTTAAGGTAAAGAACTTTTATTCACGCGCTGTGAATAAAAGAGTGAAATAAGAGCAAGATAGTTATAAGTCAACGCCATACCTGCTCTTCCACCAAAGCTTAATGCTCCATCTCTTCCTGGAAGCCCTTGCGCACCATGACGTCCTGAAAAAAGTTGATATTGAGATATATCAATCATGAAAAGAGAGTTATACTAATAATTACCTGGTAATCCTGGCTGTCCTCTATCGCCCGGTATACCTCGTGGGCTAGTAGCGCCGCGTCCTTGAAATTAAAAGGAAGTGTTCGTAAGTCAAACTAACGTATTTCAATTATAAAATTTCTTATCCTTACCGTCTCGTCCCCTTAGTCCCGCTGGACCGGGTTCTCCAGGTGGTCCTCTAAAAAGAAAAAATATTGATCATGTTACAGCATCCGATGAAAAATTTATTAGGGAAAAAATAGTCGTATACAGCAAAACGCTTCTGATTATAGTTTTTCCAATATGAAATGTTGAAAATTTTGAAATTCAATGTACTTGACTTAAGAATTTAAGCGGAGAAAAGTAAACTAAGCTATAATACGATCTTACAAACCTGAGACCCGGTCTTCCTGGAGTTCCTTCACGACCTGGTTCTCCTCTATATCCTGGCAAACTACGTCCACCTAAAAAAATAGAATTAAAAATGAACATCAGTATATCTAACATTCTGCTAATAAGCCCTATATAGTTTTAGTTCTATTTATAGTTGCTGAGTTGAGACAAGTAGCGGTGAGACAAACAACGCAATGATTGATATAAATAAAAGTGTTATATATCCTTCTGCACAAGCGAGCAGCCCTACTTAAAATGATAGACTACATACCACTGTCGCCTGGTATACCCTTAACACCAGGAATTCCACTGTATCCTCTTGTTCCCTTTTGTCCTGGAAAGCCTGGCTGTCCTAGAAGAAAAAGACAACAACCAATTATAACCGAGAAAACATACAACAATTGCATATAGAATAGTTGAAATATATCAAGTCCAAACGACATAGTGAGGAAGAACAGTGTTATGGCAAGCGTCTCACATACATTCACCGAAATGAAGGCTTTTAAAATGTACATGTGATCTTTTGAAACAATGCATCAGATTTATATTTGTATTATTCGATATTTTTAAATTTTCAATCATGGTGATAAAAAAATAGTAATTACCTGCTCGTCCGGGAGCGCCACTAAAACCACTGGTACCTTTGTCACCAGAGAATCCCGGCGCACCATTAGGACCTTAAAAACAAACATAAATGTATTCTATATTAAAAAGAACCAATAAGAAAAATATTGTTATAAAACAATTTTGCCATCACTGAGATATGGTAATCAAGCGAGAGAATTAAAAAGTGGTAACTTTTAATTTAGCTCTTTTCTCAGTCGGACGATGGATTTTTCATCTATTAAATACACCTCAACTAATGATTTATTAATATTGGGATTTGAAGGCGAAAAAAAGCTATCGTTAAGCCAGATAGGAGTCAGCCTATGTTTGCAGGTGTCTTAGAATTAAATTGACTATTTTACCTGGTCTGCCGCTTGATCCAACCGGTCCTGGAAAACCCTAGAAATATTCGATAAATTAGATAGTGCTGGTATTTCCATCAGTGGAAACTTGTCTATTCGTAAGTTATACTTACTGGAAGACCTAAAATGTAAAACATACAATTTAAACTTTACTGCGTAAAATGTTGCCTTACAATTTTTACGTACCTTGATCACCTGGAAGTCCGACTGATCCTGGAAGTCCTGATGCACCCGCATCACCAGGAAATCCTTTCATTCCTAAAAATATTTGGAGTAATATGAATATATTTATTAGCAGCATATGAATAAATAAATGTTTTAACTTCAAAACTTCTGCATTAAATACACCGACAGAACAACAAAATGATAAAACAAACTAAACTAATATAACATTATACGATTGTTTAATTTAAACCGAAGAAAATGTCCGTATTGTTAGTGCGTCTATGTGAAATGACAGCATTCTTTTGTAATTATGACTATATTTCAACCTGTCATAGTCATTATCAAATCAATACAAATAACTTTAACAGAAAAATGAAAAATTGAAATGGGGATGAAAAAGAGAAAATGGTCGTAGCAACATCACTGTCTAATAAAAATTGAGTAGTGAAATTGACTGTAAAAAATTGAAATATTACTATAATTACAAAAGAATGTTGTTATTTCATACAGCTGCATCAACAATACAATTTATTTTAGAACTGTTGCCCATTTCAAAAGAAAATATTTCTTTCTTAATTTCGGTTGTTCGATGTTAAGTTTAAAAACATCACCTTATACTGAGATACATTTTCTCTATGATGAGTATTTACCAAATGTTGTTGCTTGTCCATTTCGTCCATTTTCTCCTCTTTGTCCTTGAAAACCCGGCATACCTGGAGCACCGGCTCGTCCTGCTCCACCCTAAATTATTTAACATTTTGTTTTACATAAAAATCAGATAATTTTGGTCAATTTACCCGCTCGCCAGGTTGTCCAGGGGCTCCAGGAAAACCTAAGATATTAAAATGGAGCAATTAGTATATCCACCATAAAAGCATACGCAGTTTTCTAAAAACTGTCAAGTTAAAAATTCTTTAAGTTTTATTTTCATTCGTAGACGATATCTGGAGAACATGAAAGTACACTAATATGAAACAAAAGTGAAACATTTCTTCGCTCTTTATCATGACGTTTGGAATCAGCTCATCTAGTTTCGTTCGACGGAAAAAGCAGTGTAGTGTAGATGCTTACCACTTTGTCCAGCCATTCCCTTGGGTCCTGGAAAGCCTGGAGCTCCGTGTAAGCCGGGCAAACCTGAAGAAAATGTAAAAATAATTTTATTCTTCTTCTTGATATTTCTTTTAGAATTATAACTTTATTTAGGAAAAGTCTTACCTGGAAAACCAGCAGGGCCCGGTTGACCACGAAATCCCGGTGCATCATTTAAGCCAGGCTACAAATAATAGAAAAATTTAACGAAAATATGAAAGACAATTTTAGAGTATTTCTATGCGATCGCATCAAAACTATGTTACGCAGCTTCAGTTTCTAAATCGCATCTTTCCATAACTCGCTCACATTCAGTTCATACTTTATTTACTCATCTTAAATCATGGAGTACTAGAGGTCTAGCGTATAACAGGGTTTTAAATGTAGTAAAATCAGTTTTGAATAGACTTACCGGTCCACGTGGTCCACGTGGTCCGGGAGCACCAGGAATACCAGGAGCACCACGATCACCTCGAATTCCTGAAAATAAGAATAGATTAATGTCTAGTACCGTGTTCGTACTTTTTGACAAAAGATAAGGAAAATATTTAAAACTCACGACGCATTTTTATCTTACCGTTTATTCCTTTGAATGCATCTCCAGGTAAACCTTTCATGCCATCCATGCCAGGACGTCCTAATAAAATCAAAGACAATGTATTAGCGTTCAGTCTTATCTTACATTACGGAAAAACTGTAAAAAAGAAGTTTAGTTGCAACTCATTTAACAAGAAAAATGATAACAAAAGATTAATGTGTTTACCATCTCTTCCAGCTAATCCTGGGGCACCCGGAAGTCCAGCAAATCTAAATGAATTGAATGAATTTCAGTATACAAATTTTTTCATTCAGGGTTGAATACAACTTACCCAACTTCTCCAGGAAATCCTTTTGGACCATCTAAAAATAAAATGATAAAATTATCCTCTTAGAAGATCAATTATAATAAAAAAATAATTACACCATGAAAAAGAATAACAACTACAAGGCGTTCAAAATAGGTCTGGTGTGCATTTAAAATTCAGAAAAATTTTCTTATTGTCTTTTGTTTTTCTTAAATTTCTTTAGTAAAGTTATGATACTTACATTCTCCAAAATCACCTGGCATGCCTTTAAGTCCGGGAAATCCAGCTTCCCCAACATCACCTTCAAACGAAAAGTGTTTACTTTTGATATTGATCGCGCTATATTTCTAAATTGATGACATACCATTTTGACCTCTCAAGCCTGGAGCACCAAATCCACCGCTAAGACCAGGTTCACCGATGTCCCCTATGAGATAGAAATAGATTAAAATTTAAGTTGAGCAAGAAATGTAACGGATCAAAAGTAACTTTTTCATACTATACCTGGATATCCTTTCATTCCTGGTAATCCATTATTGCCTGGTCCACCATTGAATCCGGGAGTTCCACCTAAATATTTTCAATTTATTGTATATGTATAAAATGTATTAAAACGTTTACTTACGTTCTCCCGGAATACCTGGGCGACCTAAAATGTAATTAAATAATTTTAAAGTTATGTTACAGAAGTACTATTAAAACAGACTTGAACAGATACAATAATCCGTATTTCGGCTTCTAGAAAACTATACCTCGTTATTCATTGTCAGATACTACTTGTATCTTAGAAAGAAACTATGTTAGATTTCCAACTAAACTCTTTGTCTTTTATATTATCTATTAAAAACGAGCTAATTATGTACACTATACCTTTAATGCCTTGTCTCCCTGGCCAACCATTCATTCCGTTGTCTCCATCTAAAGTAACAGATACATTTGTCTTATTTTTAAAATCATAGTCATCGAAATGATTGATTAATTCAGTTTTAAAGATAATGAAGTTTAGTACATCTAGCTAATCGATTAAAAACTTTTTTTGCATATAAAATGGATCAAAATTTTCATCGTTCTTGGATTTGATGGTCTTGTATAAACTTACTTTCTCCCTTTCTTCCTGGAAGTCCGGGACCTCCAGCAACACCTGGACGACCCTATTCAAAATGAAAAAAAGGAAATTTTTATACTAGTTTTGAATAATTTCATTAAAGCATACATTATCACCGACAGCACCACGATAACCATTCTGTCCCGGTAATCCTGGTGAACCGCTGCGTCCCGGAGCTAAAAATTAAGAACAAGAACACTTTTGAATTTAACTTTTTAAACGGATGCTTGTATAATACACGACTTACCTCCACGACGTCCGGGAACTCCTGGTAATCCAATTGCTCCCCATGATCCAGGATGTGTTCCACCTTAAATGAAGATTTAAAAATAGTTTTACAAATGTTTATCTCTTGTGTATAAAAGTTCTAACTACAATTTTATAGAGCACAGAGTGTTTAAATGATTGTAACACAAAAGAAAGCTTAGATTAGAAAGAAATAACTCTGGGAATGAAATCACATCATTATATAAATATTGTTCAAGGTGAAAATCTTACTTACCAGTTTCTCCTTTTGGTCCTTTGGGTCCAGATGGTCCAGAAGCTCCATTTGAACCTATACAACAAAAATTGTATATTATTTTAAGCAGTTTACATACGTTCACTACCAACGTTACAAAATATAGTTTCGCAACGTTTTTAGCTAAACACACAAAGGTGCTCAAAAACTTATGGAGGATCTATCTAGAACTACCTATCAATAGATCAATACAATAGTTCAGTGCATGTTTGTTGTGTTATAATAATTATCTTTTCGCTTTAAAAGACACTTATTCATAGAAAATTTTAATGCAAATACTCTAATAATGAATTTGAGATAAACATTGCATTACGAATAGTTTGATGATATATTGTCTAGCGCAAACTAATATCAGTATAATATTACCTCTATCTCCACCTTGTCCACGAAGTCCCGGAAATCCTCCTAAAATGATAATAATCAAATAGTTTAAAAGTTTAAGAAAAATGCGTCATCAAAGCCACAACTAATATGTTCTCATTATAATCAATTCTAGTATTTAAATTGAAAGTTTTTTAAATTCCACTCCTCATGTCATAAGTAACGTTTTTTCTGAAAAGTATTGATTCCTAGAAAAAGACATGACCAAAATGTTCTCTTTCAAATGTACTATAGCTAATGTCATATTTTTAACAAGTTTACTGTAAGTTATACAGGAAAAAAGGATTTTCTCTCAATTTTTTCTAATTAAAATCACTTTTTCTGAATAACCATTTAGATTTTCAATTATAAAGAACATGTTGAGCATATGTAAGTACGTGTATAGTACTATTACATGCCGTTTTATTATCCAATAGAATGACCATGATTGAAAATCTGTAGAGATAAGAACAAGAGTTCTATTTTTCCTTGACTCGTTTTGATCAAATAAACGTTCTTTTTAGAAAAAAATATATTTTGTGTTTTCCAAGAGTCGGTTTTTCCTAAAAGGCTGTTCATACTTCTGGGAAATTTTTGTTATTTTACACGAAAGTTTTAAATTGAAGCTATAGGTAGGTCGATCTCGATGTCTTTTTATATTTAATCTCATTTTGTGTCGAGGAAGAGATCTACTAAAAAGTTTCCCAATAGGTAGAACGCAGTAAAACATTAAAATATATTTTATCAATCTGTTGAGAAAAGTATTAGCTTCAATTTAAGAAAAATAATAAGCAAAAATAAAAATAAAGCTTAACGATAAAAATTCTATTGTTTGCCAAACATTCTATTAACCGATCTTTGAAAATAGATGTACTGTTACTTACTTTGTCCTGGTAAACCTCCATAACCTCTATCACCACTGGGGCCTTTTATTCCTGGTGCTCCAGTTGATCCAGTTCTTGTTGCCACAGCCATCTCTCCTCTTTCACCCTAAAGCGATACGATATTTCATAATCGAGTCAAACTCATTTTTCATCTGTGAAACATATTTCCACAAAAATTTGAATGAAGGGAAAACAACTCATAATTACTTCTTCGGTCTTTATTAGCGTGACGAATGTCTTTTTATATTATACTGTTTTCGTTATAAATTGAAGTTGCTCAAGCTACAGCATTTGAATTGACAACGAAAACAAAAAATGTGCTTACCTTTGATCCTGGTAAGCCTGGTACACCCGGCATTCCATTTGGACCTGGAAGTCCCGGTCTACAAGAAAAATAAAGAATCCAGTAATGCTATATAGATCATTAAAAATAATAAAACTTGTACAACATCTGTTTACTGCTCAATTTTTAAATAAATATATGTGTAAAACATGAAAAATTGTAAATATGCTACGTAATTTTATATTTCTAGCATTAACACGTGTTTTTATTGAGAAATCGTACAGTAAATTGGAAATAGTTTCAAGAGTTTTCGATCATACCGTCCATCTTGTCCTGGAGGACCATCTAAGCCAGGGTAGCCTAAGTTAAGAAGAAACAGATCGATTTCAGCACTCGTAATTTCTTATTTTTACACATCATGTTACCTTTTACACCAGGTTCACCTAAATGAAAAATAAAACACTGTTAACGTAAATACGTTAGTAAGTTTGTCAATTCTTTTGCTCAAAAAATCTGTGAAAGATTTGAATACCAAATTTTGTCTTTTCATACTGGATGTTATACTATTATTAAATATTTCTTCAGAAATTTTCTAGAAAAATGATTTAAAAACTTACCGTGAACACCAGGCAAACCAAAACGTCCATCTTCACCCTAAAATAATCATGAAACTGTATATGTCTAACAAATGATATTAAAATAATGTACATTTAACGAGAGAATTACAATAAACATGTGCTTACCCTTAGACCACGAGATGCGGCACCTCCTGATGGTCCGGGTATACCCTGTTGTCCATTGAAGCCTATAAAAATGACATCAGAAGATATAACATGGAGAAAAAGAGTTACCAAAAGCATTCAAACATTCATAATCTGAGACTTTACAATCCGATGCAGTTATTGGCTACTATTAAACAAACTCAAAGTAAAAGCCAAATTTATTTAGCCCTTGATCTTAAAACTGACAAGGTGGTCATAAAAAGTTTAACAAAAAATGTTGATCAAATCACCCCCCGCTACACAGGCATAATCAATGTACTCTGATATGATAGTATCAGAGTATTGTTATTGCGAACGGATCATTTATTTAATATGGCTTTTTTTATCGCTTCTCGTAACAAATACAAACTCATACAAGTTCTTTTTATACTATTGAAAGAAAGAAACGAAATAAGTGAAAACTGCTTTTGAACTAGTTTTGTTTTTGAAAAAAATGATGAATAACTATTAAAAGTTGCAAGTGCCATTGTTAATTTTTAAAATTTAAAAAACGTTTGACAACACGCGGATACAATACGAATTAGCTTACCTGGAGCTCCTGGATAGCTGAAAAAGTATTAAAAAATCATAAGTAATGATATTTAATATAAATACGAAACGTGCTTACCCTGTGTCACCCTGAATGCCTTTTGGTCCTTTTTGACCGATGAATGTTAATGGTGCTGTTGCGGGCTCTCCTGGTTCTCCTAAAATATTTGTCAAAGAAAACATTGAAAATTTATAGAAAAGCAGTGAAATAAATTAATGAAAATCAAATGATTCGTCTTATATCTCTGCATTCTTTTTACTAATAGTTTTATATTTACTGTTGTAAAACAAAATAACTTTCACGAGAATATAAGTGATTTCAAGCCTTTAGCACACACAACAGTTCAAATTCTTTTTCATTCGAGAACGTTTCTTTAACATACCTACTGAACCATAACGCCCTTGTTTGCCTTGTGGTCCCTGTTCTCCCTCATCACCAGTTTGTCCTCGACCAGCTTGTTGTGGAGGAGGTCCGGCAGGGCCCGGGATACCTATAAGCAACAAAAGAAACACTTAACATTCTTACAGATAGTGACTGTTAATGATTTAGTCTATTTTTTATAATGAAGCTGTTTAGTTTATGTGAACCTAATTGACTGTCAAACGCTAAATTTGATTGTGCTTTGCGTTTTATTATTTGAAAAAACTTGTCTAAAAATCAGATTATGCTCTATAAATTTAATAAGACAGATAAGTTTATCCTTATGATGATTAAAGTAACTATTCCATAGCATGTATTATTATTCTAACTTTACTTTGTTACATTGAATCCATATCATTAAGTAGTCAGTATATACATTTTAACTAACGATAATACGAATATGTTAAATGAACAAAGTTTAAAACCCAAATAAAACTAAATATTTTGAATCGTACCTTTAGCTCCTGGTAAACCTGGACCACCTGTACGACCAATAACACCGGTAAGACCCTGAAAATGAAGCAAACAAATCAAAGTAAATGTTATTAAATATTTGGAGATTTTAATAGGAAATACTTGTCAGCGTTATCCTAGCGGGCAAAAATGTGAAAAAACTCTTCCTAAATATATGCATAGCCTAATGAACATAGTGAAGAGTCACTATTTAAAGAAGAAATATTCTCATTCAAACGTATAAAAATATAGCTGACGTTTAGATCAAAGTTCAAACGTTACAAATAGAGAACGAAAAATAGGGAACATTATAATGTAAAAAAACTTTACGTTACGGGGAAAAAGGAATAATGTAAAGTGCAGAAACAACCATTTTGGTCCCAAAATTTAAACTTAAAACTTCGTTTTTTTCTTCTGATGAAGGAAAGCCCTAAAAGTTTTCACAAAAATTAAACTAGAGTGACTATCAGCAATAGCTATATTAAGAGTAAAACTGTTGGATAGTACAGTACGAACGAACTATCAGTCGCATTTATTCAACAAATTTGAGGACAACTTTTCTTTGGAAAATGAAACATTGCAATAACAAAAAATATAATTTACCCTTGGTCCAGGTGCTCCGGGGGCACCGTCATATCTAAAACACGATGAATGATTGTATTACAACTGACTAAGGACATGTCAGATTTATTTCTGTTACCCGTCTCTTCCATTAATACCAGTATCACCTATATCGCCTCTGTAGCCTTTTACTCCAGGTTCTCCATTAGCTCCACGTCGACCTTTTAAAACAAAACAAAATAATATTGCACAGAACTTTTTTATCGTATAAAAATAATTCAAAATAATAAAATGACATCGAATTGAATATGATTAAATAAATTAATCCGTATCAATCGATTTTCACTATTTTTACTTTCGATAGTGGTTAATCCCACATTTGATTCATTTTTACCTTTAAAGCCATCTGCGCCAATCATCTCACCCGGTTCACCTTAATTTTTCATAAAACATAGTCAAAATTAATACCATCAGTCTATGATTAAATAAATACCTTTTGGACCAGGAGCTGCATTATAGCCATTTCTTCCATCTAAGCCCTAAAACAAAAAAAACAATTGACTAAGATATATACATGACATTTTACAATAAAACCAAAGTTCTATAAATTCAAACATCAGTTCAGTCAAATTTAATAATAAAATGACTTTAAAAGTTAATCTTAAATAATTTTACATTCCGTACAAAACCTGTATTTCCCAAAAATTCTTTTTTCAGTTTTAAATGATTGTGCTCGTTAATAAATGGTGCTGTATTGATGATCATATAAATTCAAAAGTATAAAATGAAATTAGTCTTACCGCTGGTCCTGGTATTCCGGATGGACCAGATGCTCCCTAAATGCAACAGACGATAAGTAATATAATAATATAATATAATACGGAGCGTGTTATTACCTGTAATCCAGCATCACCTTTTTCACCTAGAAAATAAAATACAATGTAAATGCACTTTAAACACTAAATTAGGCAATGATTTTTTACCGCGAAATCCAGGTGCTCCATGAACCTGATAATCAAAAACAAAAATAAAATTACAATATGAATATGTTGCCAATCTTTTCCGCTTACTCCCGGTCTGCCACGATAGCCTGTTGAGCCTCTATCACCTTGTAATCCAGGAGTAGTAGGTGGACAAAAACCACAGCCTCCATTGTCACCTAAGTCTCCTTTGGGCCCAGGTATACCTAGATGAAAGAAAAACTTGATTATACATCCTGCTAGACTTGCAATGAGTTATTTTAACTTACCAGGGACACCAGGTAATCCAGGAGGTCCCGATGGTCCCGTATAACTAAAAAAACTTGTGTTTTTAAATAGGATACAGACGCACCCCGAGAGTTGATAATTTTATAATAGAGAGATACGTATTTGCTAAATTTCAACATATTAGTTGAAGTAAGTCGCCCACTAAATCGAGTTTGCACACACTATGCTTTGTCTGAACTCCTTATTAACATTCAGCGACAAATTATTTCGTTTAATAGTGGGATTAATAGTGGCATTTAATTATATATGAATAGAGTGTTTCTCATTAAGTATACGATACTAGTTGTCAATCTGCTTGTTTTCGGTAAAACATGACAGTCAATTGCTGTTCGCAAAAGAGTATTGAACTGGACACTATCTTTAGGAAACTTACCCTGGCTGACCAGGAGGACCGTAGCCTAAAAAGATATTAGTCTCTTTAGCTTAAATACTGTTACATTTCTCTGCGAAGTTAACCTACCTTGATATCCGCGAAAGCCGTCTTCTGCTGGATAACCTGAAAAAATGTAAAAAAATTATGTAAAATCCGTAAAATCAAAAGTTTTCTTTTAGAAATCAGAAAATTCGTTTAGCGCAGGAGAGGAAGTGGAACATTTTTAATATAAATCAATGATTCTTCATGTCACTCACCTGGTGGACCCATTTCACCTTGATCTCCTTGTGGACCAGGCAATCCTGGATCTATGAAAAATATTGAATATTTGCAATGTAATACATGTAGATAAGCACTTATGCTGTCATTCCAACTTACATCCGGGACGCCCTGAAACTCCAGGCAATCCACGTTGTCCTAGAAACAATTAAATTTATATTAAATTTGTATTCAACCGATACTTAAAACTTGACAGTATGGGTTTGTGGTTATTTAACTAGATCGTACTATTCATTTAGTCTCTGCTGTAACAAAGATGATTACAGTCTTACGCTAAATTTTCGCTGTACTCAATGATTAAAAGTTAAAAATAACACATAACGAACCGACTCCGTTATCTCCAGTTATTCCTTTGTTTCCCATTTCGCCTTTGTCGCCAGGATAACCTACAAAAACATTTGAGAAATCCGGTTATAACAAATGAAGCATAATGTCAGCCAAAAATTTACCGGCAGCTCCTGCTTGTCCTGGTAAACCCGGAAATCCTAAAATTTTTTAAAAGAATCGCTAGTTTCTTAGAAAACATGTAATGTTCAGTTACCATACCATCATCTCCTCGATCACCCTTTTCTTGTTCACCGCCGAAGCCAGGTTCACCCTTTCAAATAAATGAGAACGTATTTCATCGAAGAATTCATTAGAGAGACGAATTTTGTGGAATAAATTTACACGCTGGAATCACTTACCATAGGTCCAGGTCGGCCAGGCATTCCATAATCTCCTTTCTCGCCTTTTATACCTTCTCGACCTAAAACATAATCAACGATTGAGCAATTATTGTGGAAAATTTTCTTTTTTATAACAAAACTGCAGTTAACAGAAAGCGAGACATTTTGACAGAAAAAATCTTATAATTATTGTTTGAGTTTAAAGAAATACAATTTTGATTCGTCTATATATTATAAACAAAAGTGTTCGACGAAAGAAAGACTCTGTGAGCAAATGAAGCACATTACCTGGGAATCCCGGTGCGCCAGGTAATCCAGATGGTCCAACATCCCCGGGTATTCCCTAAAATAAATTTAATTAAGAAATTATATTTTACTTTCATGGATTATGTTACCTGATAGCCAGGTCGTCCAGGATATAGTCGAAGGCCTTTTTTACCAATTGTCTAAAAAAAACATCCGAATCAATATGTGAGCATTTGAGATAAAAGGCGGACAGATCTAATTATATATTTTAAATATCTAACATAGTTTACTGATATATAGAACCAAAATAAATACACGGATTGTCTCTTATGGGAGGTATTTATAATTAAGACTGCACGGCTGCGTGCGTTTTATATCACGCTGTTAAATTGATGTTTTTTTTATAGCTAATGCGTTTTAATCTCAACGTGAGAAAATTTAATTAAATGAAATAGTGATCAACGATACATATATTACAAAAGATATAACAACGAGACATTCAACACATAACTCACGTTTGGTCCCGGTGCTCCATTATCTCCTCGTTGACCTTTTGGTCCCGGCTCCCCATTTCTTCCTTGATCTGAAATAGCGAAACAAATTGTTTTCCTACGATCTAGTACTAGTGCAAATTTTTATATATTTTGCTCCTATTATTATAACAGAAAATCGTTACACTTGCCTCCAGGCACTCCATCTGAACCGGATGGACCATGTGTACCTAAAAACAAAATTGGGATCAAGCAATATATTTATAAACAAACAGTTCTGAATAAACAAGGTAAGGTTTTGACTACTTCTCTTACATACCAGCAGTTCCTTTGACACCGTACGAACCAGCTGGACCGGGTTTACCGGTTTTTCCCTGAAAACAAAACATAATTGATCAAATGCACAGCGTCAGAGGTCGATACGCCCTTAGTTTCTAGGACTACTTTTGAAATCTAACACACTGGCATTTTTCAGAACATTCGAGAGATGAATATAAAAACAGATAAACACTAATTCGGCATGAAGAGACTTAGTTCAAAAAAACATTTTTATAGACATATGGGAAAAATGTTTTTCAATATGCAATTGTGTGATTGGAACCTTTCTTGATTTTCGTCTGCATTTAAGGAAATTAAGGATTTTAGAAGAAGACCGTGTTCTAGAGTATAAGAGCGGCCGTTTGTTAGAGCAATTCAGTCATTTTTGAAGGTAGTTCTGCTTTGCTGGTAATTTTGATTACCCAAAAAGATGCCTTACTGTCTCATTTTCACCACACTCACACAACTGACTACTTATTAAGTTTTTCTTAAAAAGATCATAATTTAACCGAAAAAAAAAACCGACGCGCCTCTGACTAACAGTCATATCGTATTTCCTTTCGATATCTTTAAACCGAGGCCACTTATACCAAGGAAAGAAACGATCAGTTATTGCTATACGAAATTTTTTCAAAATCAAAATTATAGTGAGAGTAGTAGGTAATGTATTCCACTGCCTAATTGTCTATGAACTTTCAAATTACCCATCATATTATTACCTGTGGTCCAGGAGCACCAAAATCACCCTTTTCTCCTTTTGGCCCTTGTAAACCGTCGATACCCTTCAAAAAAGAAGGATTTGTTTTTAAGTGGAAAATTAAATTTCAATTTTACGTACAAGATAGCCTGATGCACCCTGATTTCCTTTAAATCCTCTGTCACCTGGATAACCTCTGCCTCCAGGAACGCTCTGTAGATGAGTTAAACCTAAAACACATGCACACAATTTTATTAGACAGACATACAACATATCTATTGATTTCACCGTATGGAGAAGCGTAAAGCAAAGTTCTAAAATTTTGTTGAAATATCGCAACACCTTTTTATACTGTACACCCGCATGAAAATATGGATTCAAAGCAGTGTGATAAATTATATATTGAGAGATGCATTAGAACACCATAATACTTATGATTCTAAAGTTTTGGCTTAAAAAAGTTAAAGTTATAAAGCAAGGGATTTTAAATCATGCAGTGACCTATGTATATGGTCTGTGTTTACTGTGGGTACATCTATTAAAAGCTGCTAATCATTTTCAAGAAAAAGACATTTTAAATTTTTAAACAATGAAAGATGGAAGCATAGTCAGCCATTGAAGCAAATTTGTGAGTGTGAATGTGTGTCTTAATCTGTAGTTCAATATATATAAACATTAAATATGGTAATCAATATCCTTATGGTCAAAAGCTTCTGATAATGTAAATGTGTACTTCTGATAGAAATGATATTGAAAGCTACGGCGCAGTTTCAAATTTCTTTCTCACTTTGGTAAAAGCATGACGCGATTATGAAAATTAGTGAACTTTTAGCTTAGATAAGTGATTGAATACTTACATTTTCCATTCTGACATCCTGCAAAAGTACATACATAGACAGTCTTTTTAGACGGTAACTCAATCAAATAACTCAACACGATGGGTGTGTACAAATTTATTTTCTTTTTCATTAACTATAGTATAATATACTGCTGAAAAGCACTTACCGCGAATCTCGCCATGTTCCGGTCCTCTTGGTCCTAGGAATCAGAAGATTTATATTAAACAATATCTAATATTCGATGTTTCTTTTCTGTACGTACCTGGCATGCCTGGCTCTCCCCGTATACCTGTTAACAAATACAAAAATAAACTATAAAAAGATAACAATGAAATTTTTCAGTTATATCTACCTTTTACTCCAAAGTTATCTTGTCCTGGAAGCCCTCTTTCTCCGGCGTCGCCTGATGGACCTGGTCTTCCCTAAAAAGATTAAAACTGTCTTGAATCAAACATATTTTTGTTGTTTTACTTATGCTGTCACGCGAAAACTGATCGCAATTAAACTGATCACTGTCAGAGTACATACTCGTGTGCCATCTTTTCCACCTGGACCTGGAGCTCCCGGCAAACCTGGATTGCCTGGCCAACCCTGAAATAAAGAGTATTGTATGATTTTTTTTTCTAACAAAGTTTTATTTAAGATGAGAGAAAAGAATTCTCTTTCTTCCACTACGAAAACATCAATGAAAAGTTTTGCTTTGTACACTCACTGGTATTCCTTGTTTGCCCGGCGCTCCTCTGTCTCCTCTTGGTCCTTGAGCAAGACCACCTGGACCATAATTGGCTTCACCAGGTTCGCCCTGAACAAAAAATAATCATTTGAAACGAGCACTACTGCTACTTTGCTGAAAGCTTCCTTACCATGTCTCCCGGTCGTCCGGGGTTTCCCCGATTTCCTGGTAGACCGTTTGTTCCATCAAATCCATTTGGTCCCGAGTCACCCTAGAAAGTCAATTGCTTCTTAACATAACACAAAATTCAACTATATCATCGTTACAATCGTATTTGGAGTGACATATATTCCACTACGATGCCACGCTACCGTATTTTAAATTTATTCAATCTTGACTGATGCACAGAGAAAACACCCAACAAGGTACAATTTCGCTCTAAGCGTGGCACCCTACGCGTTCTATTTTTACGAACACGTTCATACACGTTCTTCAAATAAAAACAATTTTTCTGCTGTCTATCTGTTCTTCTCCTTTTTTGTGTTGGTGTTTTTTAAAAATAAATTAAAGCAAAAAATAATAAATAGTAAATCATCAAGTCCCCAATGTTTTCGCTTGTCTAGCAAGACTCCTCATCTGTACTAAGGATGGTGAAGTACACAATAGGATCCTATCTGATTATATATTATCTTTTGTAACCTTATAGAATCAATCAGCAGAAAGTGGCAGCTAATCTAAGTCTCGGAAACGATCTAGAACATAGCAAGTTCTCTTAGATAAATCTTACTTAGAAATTCTACATCAAATGCATTTTTTACATAGGTATGTGAATATTCTTGTTCAAATCAATGTGATTCTAACTGGCCAGTTATTCCCAATAACACATTTTTAGTAATTTAAGAAGAATTCCGATAAGAATTGAGAGATGGTCATCTTGAGATTGAGATTGAAAGTCGTCGATGACTCTCGCAAATTATCTGATTCCCTCAGATAATAGAAACAAGTTATAGATTCAAATTTTGGCGAAATTCTTCTACTAGATTTTTGAAATCTTAACTTTCATCGTACATAATTCTGTTTTAGCTCATTTGTGCTGCACTAAATATTCTCCCACTTTCTACCTAAAACTCGCAATGCCTGGGTTAAGGTCATCCGTATTCGCGTATAGAATATAATATAAAAACATAATTGATCTTTCTCAGTTAATAAATATGTCAAAAATAGTCTTAGAGAGCTTGACATTGATGGATGTATTAGTGTTCGAAATTGTATAGATATTTTACCACAAAAATATGTTTATATACATAAAAAAGAAAAGAACAACAATATATCAATTTTAATTTATGCTAAATGACAAAAATAACAATAAGTAGCATAATATTATTTAGTGTATCTTGTATTATAGAACAATCTTATTAAAATTATAAGATTGTATCAAATCATTAAATAACTTAGACAAAAATAAGAGACTTAGAAACTCAAAATTTCATTTACGTTTTAATATTTAAATGGGTTTGCATATTTATCTCTTGCTTCTAGAATATTGTTTCCGAATCTATTCAGTTTTTTTTTTCTTCATTTCATTTTATCAACACAATATAATAATTATGAATTGTGATTAATCACTATGATAAATTCTGTTTCGTGTACGTGTATAGAGACCTTGACTTCTTTATACAGCGATAGACTAATGCAATTGCATCACGCCTAAACATCAGATATTTTTTAATAGGACTATTTTTTTGTATATATAGCATGTATTTATCGGCTAACTATACAATTTGTGAGGTATAAATGATCTCAAATGCAAATATAATATATATTCTATATATGACAGACAAAATTCTTATATTTCTTTTTCTATGACAATCTCTATTACTATCTTCTATAACACTTCTATGAATGTTTGGTGCCACTGGGGGGGATATATTTTTACCGCATTTTTGGACAAATACAAAGAACAAACAAAAGATATCTATTTAACGAGCACCCACTAATTTAAACCTGAGCAACAGAGACGGCTAAAGTAATTACTACAACATTTAGACATTTTTTGGCCACAAAAAAAAGAAAACGCCTTCCAATTTACTTAGTAAATCTTTGCTGGAAGTGATAATAAACAGATTTATTCTAATAGAAAAAGACAGATTTGTTTACATAAACTCAAGGATATTATTTTCATACAAATGACTGTCATCATCAGTACGACTGATTTAATTCATCAATAATGAATTCCTATAGATTTATCAACTATATATTTCAAGCACACGCTAAATCAACTAAGAAATATTATAAAAAACATTAGTCAATTTCCAGAAGTTTTATGGTTTTCTCACTATAATAATTCAATAATTTGCCGGCGTCTACTCATTTTTTTATTAGTTTTTGAAAGCAGAAGGCAGATGTTACTGAAGGCTGACAGATGTAGATTCAGTTTTGAGTTATCATTAACGAGAAAAACAAATAGTAATATGTAAGCGATTAAAAAATTTCTTCTGTTTATATAATCTTTTTCTTGGAAACCGCTGTTATGATAACCACCAATTAATTCCAAGATCAGAAATTAGGTTTAATGGAATATGATCAGTAAAATTCTCATAATGCTGAAACGCTATGTCAAAGAATGATAACGAATTCAATGAACAATCTTTAAACTTTCTTCTAAATTTTCTATCAAAGCAAGTCACTTCGAGAGCAGTAGTGGATTTATAGTATATATTGCCACAAGTATTCTAAAAGAACAAAAATCAGTTTTGTTAATTAAACTTGGCTCTGAAAATGTTTTTTTCACGGCTATCGTATGTGTTAAAAAAAAATTCTGATTTTACTTCTGTTCGAGAAAATTCTTCTTAGTACAGCTTAACAGCTACTCATTTTTGTGTTAGTCACATACTGTTGTTAACAAAACAAAACATATGTAAGCTTCGTTTGAAGTTATCTGCTAAATTAACAAATTATTTTGATGATTTGTGAACCGTACACTATTATTCTTCATGAAAAGTATTATCTAACGTTGTAGTTTGTTTCTTTATTATCCGTTGTTGTTTTATCTGTTTTGATTGATACTTATTTTCAATCTATTATTCAATCGAACAATGTGTATCTGCATATTAAAAATTCATCTTGATACAGTCTGATTATTGCAGATGCATTGAGACAAAGAGTTAAGTTTTAATGATATTATAAGCTTTTTTACATGATTATTCTCACTTATTTCAATCTAAAATGCAGTAGGATTAGCGATATTCTTGTTTCTCAATCATTTCATTATAATTTGTAATGCTGTCATCAGGTTTGCTGGGTATGATGGTATTGCTTGATATCTTCTCCGAATGGGAAGAGGGATCAGTGATTGAAGTTTAAACCTATGCTACTGCGATCTAAATAACTAATTTAGAGAACCTTATGCGCTTCTATTTAATTTAAAAATACGTTAATTCTATGATATAGAACTAAAAAGCATTCTAAGGGGTGAACTTTATTTTGAGTGCCAACTTATACCGTGTTTGTATCTCAAATGTTCTGTCAGTTTTCAAATCAAAATCTTATTTCTATGGAATGAGAGCCTTTTGTGGCTTGTGTTTGTTAAATAGGGATATCAACATAAAAACAGTCTTAAGCAGAGCATGGGCATTCGAACTCTTTCCGAATGATATTAGCAATCTTAGACCCATTGCAGTGGGTAAGAATACAACATCACCATCAAACTTCTTCAATATCAAACCTCAATATATTAAGACTAGACAATAAGATAGAATTGGGTTTTAACTCAAGGAGATAGCAAGACGCAAGAGGAACAGTTAAAGACAATGAAACGACTATATAACACCGGGAAATATATCTAATTGGAGAAAAAATACGCCTACTATCGCTTTATTCATATATTACAGTATCAAGAAGCTTATTTTCCATTCTAGAAATAGAAATATTCAGATCATCTTATTTACTATGTCAAATGTCTATAATATGTAATATTATCCGAATACACAAAGTCATGCCGTCATTGCCTTGTGAATTTATTCAGAGATCATAAAGACTTGTTCTATCGTCTGCCGCTGTTTTATTAATCACTTAATTCATAAAAGGTTTTATAATATCTCTGTTTTTCTTTTTTTTTCTTCGTATACAGACAGCACAATGTCGCACAACACAGGCGGTCTACTAAGAATATTTATACATATATGACAACTGTTTTCTTATGGGTGTCCTTCGCCTGTGCGGTTATATTATCAATAATCAGAAAAATTTTCCTTTTTTCTTTCTTTTTTGTCTTTCTACATATGTTATTAATATATTTTTTACGTTTTTTCTTATAAAGCTAGTTTTCTAGGCACATACTACGACTGGAAAACTGCACAGTTTTATCACATTCATGATTATTCATAAAAGAAAGATAATATAATATAGCATAATTCTTATTTTCGACTAATCTTTTCATTTGCTTAGTGAATACACACTGAAAGTTGACATGTCAAGAATTTAATAATAGCAAAACGATAATCTTACTTTTGAGCCATTGCAACCGGGAACACCGGGGATACCTCGCGGACCTACTGAACCGGGTTTTCCCTATAATGAAGAAAAATTATTAGCTAGAACGAATTAACAGTAATTAAACTTTCCACTAATATACTCGCTCGCCATGAAAAACTGGGTGTATATATTTAGTGTTAATGAAAGAATACATCATATTCAACACATAGTGTACCTTCATTTTTACCTGGTAGAATCTCAAATGATTAAATACAGTACAATTATGCTAGCTTTTATAAGTCAAAAGATTTTCGGTTTTTTCAGTTTTCTCACATTGATCACTTAGTTCTCTCAAAAAACTCCTTCGGCATCTGGCTGTTGCTGAGTTTTCACTGACTACTCATTTTTACATGTGCTACTTTTCTTGTTGGTACGGCTTAAGGTATCAACTGAAAAGCATTAGATGCATTTGCCGGTGCAATAATGCATAGATCAACAAACCACTAAAGATTACATACTGGAAATCCATTTTGACCGTCAACTGGTAGAAGACCATCATCACCCTGAAGATGAAAGAACGATATTGTTTTACAAAAAGAAACATCTAATGTAGATCGATGTAAAATATCATTTCACACTTACACGTTCTCCTTTATTTCCATATTGACCTCGATCTCCTTTTTCACCACGAACACCGGTCAAACCTCGTCCCCCTTGACTTCCTCTATTTCCACGATCCTAAATTCAACATTATACATTGATTCATTTCTTCTTGATATAAAACATGTTTTACTATTTACCCCAGGAATGCCGGGAAATCCTTGTGGACCTAAGTATAATGAAAAAGAAATTCTTAACCATCCATTTTGCATTTAATTTAATATTTTAACATCATAAAACCTTCCTTTTTAATGAGAAAAGTTTACTTATCCAATATGTGACGTATATCACTGAATATATACAGAATTGAAACAGAAGAGCTCAAAACAGTTAATAAAACCTGATTATACGTGTCAGCTCGATTTCTATTTGAGCTTTAAGTATACTTTACCAAGAAAATATAAGAGTAAAAAAATTGCTTTCTACACATATTTGTGAAATTAAATTGATAAATCATAAGCAGTTCTCAAACTGCGGCTTAATAATTCAAAACAATCTATTATTCTATCGTTCCTTCTCTTACTGATTTATCACTAATCAAGACGAATTATTGAAAAATGTTTCTGAAAAGCTGAATTTCTCTTTTTTCACTTATAAAGTTAGTGAGACTATAGAGTAGCTTCGGTTTATTATCTTACCTGTAATACCCATTCCACCTTTTCCCGGACAGGCACAATCTCGTCTTGGACCACATCCTTTACATTCAACGCCACTAGCGTTGTAACCATTACCATTACTTGATTGTGGTGGCTGTGGTTGTTGTGGTTGCCTATAATCTTGTTGATAAGGCTGTTGTCGTTGATAGTTTGGATATTGATACTGCTTTTTTACTCGAGATATTAAATTATCATTTGATTGTGCCTAGAATTTTCAAATAAGAAAATGTTTCATGCAATGAGGTTGTAAGCACACATTTTTCACTTACCGTTTTCGACAGTACGTTCTCACATATCATAATAATGATCAGGCACACGACAGCAAATGGCTTCGTTGAAGCCATCATTCAAATGTTTAGTCTTTACGCGCTAACAAGAAGTGCTGATTTGACATACAAACATAAATGTTGTTCAAAAAAATAAGTCTGAAATGGAGAGAAACATACAAAAGTTCTAGCAGTAATATTAGAAAGAATATGACTAAATCATCCATTATGAAGGCGGAAAACTACGCTTTTAGATATTCTTGATAGAAAATTATTTCAGAATTCACGAACAGAAACAAGTAATTTTAGGTATATACGTTAATATATGTTTTTAACACAGATACACGTCCTTTTCAATGACAGAGACAAGCTAAATTCTTCTAAAAAGTTTAAAAATTGTTAAAAAACATCTATACTTATTAACAACGCTGTATTAGATATTTTCCTACGATAGATGACAATTTTACAACGCCAAACCGACTTGTGAGAAGAACACTGTACATTCGTAACTTACAAACGTTTTCTGTTCAAATCAACTCTTATTTACTTACTTGCTGAATAACAACAAAATACTGTCTATACAAAACCTTTGTCTATCAACGAAAGAAAGAACTAGACGAAAAGCTAATATATTTTGGAAATTTATGTTACTGTTTTTTGTTGAAGAGAATATATGATGAACGTCACCAGATAGAATATGAATCGAAATCGGAGGTCGTTTAATTTTAAATCTACATGTTCATCTCGTAAACAGAAGAACAGAACAAACACATTGTTATCAAAAACCGTCGAACTTGTCCAACATTACTTTTGTTTTTCTCGTATACGAACCGCCTATATTCTTTTTTTTTTTTATCATTAGCAGCAAAAAAACTAGTGCTAATACAATTTTTGATGCTTCGTATTTTTTATCTCTCTGCAATGATACCACAAATACTAACATAATTTTTTTTGTTGTTTTTGTCAGAACATCTATCAAAGAAAACCGCTTTCATAGCGCAAACAAAAAAATTTGTTTGTTGGTTGGTGGATTTTTTAATGTCATCTTTTTTTTTTCTTTTGCAAAAATATCATTACTAGGAAATAGAATAATCTCTGAATATATTTGTGTATTTTTTTCCCATCGTTGTTATCATTGCTGAAGAGAGAGAGAGAGAGATAGTGTGTGTATATGTTATGAATACAAACCATTTATTGCACAATCATTAAGCGAAAAGTGCATGACACTACGGATAGCGTCATGACAGACAAAAAACTTCATCCAACAAATTGTGTGTACAGGTAAGTTTTTTTAAAAAAATATTTGAATATTTATTTTGATTCTCTTCTTTTTTTTATTGAATAATAACAAAGTTAATTCTCGTTATATTTATTATGATGATAATCACTCAATTTTTAATCTTGTTCTTTCTTGTTCTTTGTATGATATATTCCACATACACATATATTATGTACTAGTATAGATGTATATGTTCAACATGGGTAATATTTCCCTATACTGTAATGTGTAATGATTTTTGTTTGTGAGTGATGAAGTTGAAATGAGAAGATGTGAGTGAGGATGGATGTGAGAAAAGAGACTTTTGAGAAAGAGAGAGAGATGTCGAGAAAAGTTTCAAATAAGCACTAGCCAAAATATCGTGTGCATATGTGTATGGTTACTTTTTTTCATATTTTAATATATTTTACACTTTAGAATATCTATACATACACAGATGTTTTTAACACTTTTTCTCTTAAAATTCATTACAAGAGTTTTTCTTCTTTTCTTCTATTGTCACATTGTTACATAGACTTGACTATAGTTCTATATGAACATATTTTGAGGAAATGTATCTTTCGTTCTGCGGTGTTTGATATTATGCTCGTGCATTTGTGACAAAGAACTTATTTAATCACACACATTTGTGTATATAACTTGAGTATGTTTTTACACATCCTACAAAATTGTACCGAAATATAGAATACGTATCACACAGACTATAACATCTTTTTCCTTTTTTTTTAAAACACAATAACCACAAAAAGAAGAGAAAAAAAATATATCATCAGTATAAAGCCACAAATTGCGCCTCCTACAAATTTTTTCAGTTACTGCTGTCAGGAATGGAGACAAGTTCGCTGTTGTTTTTTCTTGTTTGTTCTTTTTTTTATCCTCGATATATCTTTCATATTTCCTCGCCGTCGCCTTCGTCAATGAAAAAACCTAGAGTTATCATTCAAATAACTCATCTATGTTAATTATCTCTACGCCTAAGAAGCTCATTTGACTTGTTTTTTTTTCTTTCGTTCTTTGTAATAGATTAGTAATAATAATAATTTATTATAAAAAATATTTCTCTGTTATATAGTATATATCTATGATAAGCTCTTTTCTGTTCGAGAAAAATCAATTGTATAAAAATATATAGATAATAATATCTTCATATTCTGTACTATTAAATATGAGAATTATAGAAACGTTAAGGACGTTTACTGATGAAAAGAAGTAAAAAAAACAAATAATAAACAAGACGCGAAGGAGAGAAAAACCTGTGGTGGTTCTACCATTCGTTTTAATACAATCCACAAAAAAAGAAAAGAAAGAGAAAAGGAGGCTGTACGTCTGTACTGGTTTAGGAAAAACCAGAGTTGAACATAGCGCGTTGTACTTAACGCTCTAATTCAACTTTTTTAAAATAAAACAGATAAACGTTCAATATCATATATATGTTTGAATATTCTATTATTATCATCATTACTACGGATTAATTAATTTTTATTTCGATCATTATATTCAAATTATACTTTCTATTAAATTTCGTTATCTAACAATACTATTTCATAGAAAAATGCTGAATATGTGGTAAGCGTTAGTTTTTTTTTTTTTTTTATAGTTTTACACAAATATGTAAATACGATATGGTGTAAAAGAAAGAAAAAGAGTATCTACTTATTCGGTTAGCTAATAAAATAATAGGAGCAAGTTAATATTCCTATATTTGAATCGTGATTGTTGCTTGCTTTTGTTACACGATAAAATTCCATCACCTATATTTCCACTAGACTAGCGGAAACAAAACAAAGTAAACTAAACAATCTGATCTAGATTGTATAACTTATCTGTGCTTTATCACTAAATTTAATTTATACTGATTAGGTTTTACATTTTTCTAAAAACAAACTCTAACAGCTAAAGACAAATTATATTCATTTCTAATTTTTAATTTGGATTTTGATATAACATATAGATATGATTAGAGATGTTTCTCTGATAGAATCCCGTCTATTAAAATAAATTTTCTTTCAAAAAAAACACCTATGATAGACGACGACCTCTGTTTGTGTGTATGTAGACTTTCTATTTTCCGTGCTAGTACCATTCGTCTATAGAGTTTATGTAAGAGTCAGTGATTGCTTTTTGTTTTCAATTGCTTCTTATGAATTTTACTTTCATTCGACAACTATTAAACAAAGCAAACATTTTAATAAACGTTTATTCTTAATATATTTGAGTTTATTTTGAAAATGTATGCATGCATAAAAGAGCGAACAATTAATTCAACAATAGCGACTTTTTATGAGACGAAAAACATTTTCTAATCATAGCATGGTGTCTAAAATGTTAAATTTATTTGTTTTCAAACTGTAGTTGTTTTGAAATTTACCTATAGGAAGTGACAAATAAACTCATGATGTATCGGAAAAAGCTAAAGATCCTTTTTGCGTAAAAAAAATTGAAATTCCAACTTCTTATTAAAAATCAGCAAAAAAGAAAGATTCTCGATTTTAAAGTAAACTATAGTGAGGTACAAGTAAAGAATGAGTAGTTCTTTCAAATTCATTACAAATTAAAAAAAGTTTCAAAAAATTAATCAGACTAAGCGCCTGAAAATATTGAAAAAAGTTCGATAGTACTGTTTTTTGATAAATTTTAAAATCTATTATTCAATTTATGAAACAAGAAAACTAAATTGTTAAATTATAAAACTCTTGTCTATTCTATGATTTTATGTTCAATTGAATTTCAAAAAATTTCTTTAGTTTAAATTTTCTTTCTGTTTGCATAATTGTATATCATCAATTACGCTATCACCTTGAACAGTATTATGTATAAACCCTTTTAAACATATATATATATATATATATATATATACACATATACTGATTCTATTATGTTGTCGCTGACTTCTCTTTTTCTCTGATGGTAGTCGTAGACGTAACTAGAAGAGTAGTACATTTAGTCTCTTTATGTGTATGTATGCAATATACTTTATCATCAAAACTTTTCTTATTCTTTAATGTTTGTTCTTTTTTGTTTTTTGTTCTTCTCTCTTTCATGATTTTTATGTGTAAAACTTTTTGATTATTATAAAAATAATTTTCTTTTACAATGATATAGACATGTGTACATACATATACATTAGTAGAGATACTGTACATATTGTATAAATAGAACACCTTTTTATACATGAACAGATAAATGTTTACATATATATCTGAATGTTCAAGATATAAAGACCTTGATTATATTATTTATTAAAACAATACATAATTATATAATATATTTACTAAGTTATACTCACATCTAAATTATCATTTTACTATTCAAGCAAATAATTTTTCTGATTATGTATAGAATAACTGATAGTAAACTGTATAAATAAATAAATTTTTTATCAGTAGTGTTTAATGAACTAGCAAATCTACTTTAATTTCATCTATATAGTCATATCTTATAGATTGTAGTTCACTTATTCTATAATAATTCCTACGAATGAATTGAGAATTTATCATCTTAAACAATGAAATATGTTGTTGTTATTTTTTGAGAAACATCGATCTTAAAAAAACAAAAATATATTATTTATTTGATATATTTAGTTGAAAATTTTAATTTTGATATGCTAAAATTGAGAATGACTACAGTGAATGATTTTAAAATAGAATTTTTCTTATTAATAATGAAAGCCTCGCTTTCTATCATTATATTATGCATATGTTCTGAAATAATCTTGTTTTTAACTGCTTGCTATATCACGAGTAATTATGTTTCATTATATAAAAAATCGAAAAGATATACGAAATATATTCGAATTTGAAATAAAATTTATTAACATGTCAAAAGATATATTGTCACAAATGACAGAAACAGGCGTATAGCGTACATAACATGTGAAAGATTCTATCAATTTTATTACTTCGATTATAAATTAATGCAAATTTTCAATCGTGAAAATGATTTAATCTTGTACAATCATTACATGATTGAACAGTTTGTAGGAGAAAAAAATAGCCTTATTTTGTGAAAAAAAAAGAAGAAATAAAACGTAAAAAAAAGAAAATATACAATTTAAAATGGAAGTAATTAAAATGCATATATATTTTAGAAATTTACATGTAAAAATGTCTAGATTGATGAAGCGAATAACTCAATGGTTCTTTTTTAAATTTGAACATAATATTGATAATAAAAATTTTCAAATCAAAAAATACTACAGTTATGTGAAAATTATTGTTTTATTCTTTATTTTTCCTTTTTTTTGGAATAAAGTACATACGTAGTGTATGTATAGGACAATAAATGTTAGGCATATTTTGACGATGAAAATATTGGATAAACTCAAATTTATCATAACATATGTATGTACGACTTGGTATCAACGGCAGATAGGATAATTATAGAGATAAACAATGTCTGCCCTAAAATTATTAAAAGACTAAGAATTGAAACATATTCTTTTTTATTATTTTTATACAATTTGCATTATCCAAGATATTCTATGCGTTGTATTTCATCTTTTCTTTCTTCTAGGTATAAAGATTAGACAAAATTTTATGTAAGAACTGATGTTTCTTGTTTTTGAATAGTAAAGTATGAGAAAAAGAATTTTTTTTTTTTTTAAATTATTTTGTTCTTATAGACACTATTAAATTGAATATGCGCATAGAACTACAACTAAATCATTTCTGATAAACATCGAGACATTGTTTTGATTAAAATTTTGCGATTTAAAGATTGATCATCTTCATTTTATTAGTGATAATATCAATATAAATTAATAAGATAATGTGCCGAATGATACGTTTGTCTCTATTTGGATAAAGAGACACATCATGTTGTTAAACGATGGTCGAGCGTCTTGATTGATGTTAGACACGTTTATTCTTTTTATCCAACAGATCAAATATGTTTATGACGATATATATATATATTGATATATAGATATATACCTCGAAGCCAACAAATGGCAAATGCTAGTGTTACAACAACAACCATTTTTGTTACACGTTTTTGTTTTGTACGAACTACTTGACGAAAGTCTGAACATCAATCAATGCAATGTTATCTTATATACCTTCAACCATCTATATCTTTTTTGAACTAATTGTGTCTTGAGGAAAGAATGGAAGTGGTCAAACTACTTGTAGTAGTACTGCTATAAAGAGAGAGAGAAAAATGACAATCATTTAGTTAAAATAAAACCTTATTTACAGACGAAATTGGATGAATATTAACAAAGTTGCGTTTTTGTCAATTTATCATTTAATTTAGAAATTTTTTATTAATATTGAGCATATTTTTATGAGAAAATATGTTTTCTTGAATAGAAGATAATTGACCGTCAAATATTACAGATGATAATGATGTAATAAAAAATGTTGTTACTTGTCAGAGACTATAGAATAAAAAAGAAATTAATAAGATAGATTTAGATACGAGTGTTGTAGAAACGTTCATCATATAAAGTTAAGATTTGTTATAAAAGAATGAAGCTAATAAAAAAGCATATGCAAAAATTTAAAAGTCATCATCAAAAAAATTCATTGTACCTATAAACAAAAAATAAATATTTTGATCAAAAATTTAGCTTATCAAATCAATGTCTTGTTTTTGATATACATGATCCTCTTCTATTCATCATTAGAAATTTGTCTCATTTATGGTCATTACTTGTACAATCTATTAATTAGCTAACTTTTCAAATTTTAAATTTGATTTTCTTCTTTCTAGGCTTAGTCAATGTACAATAATATTGTCAACAATTTTACTATCATTATTGATTGAAAATACAAATGCACAATTAAGAGTAAGTAATAAATATAGAGTTTTATATATGAAAGAAAATATATTGAGATAATGAATAAAAATGATTTTTGTATAATACTCAGAATGAACGAATGTAACAATTTCAAACATTATTTTTCTTTTCAAAATAGTCTGATATTTTAAATTTGATGACAATAAACTTATATTATTTAGTGAAAAGATTTTTCTCTTTTTCTATCTTAATAAAACAAAAAATTATGCAATTGATAATAAACAAACTCTCTGTGTTTCCGTTCAATACAGAGTTGAGTGACTTACTCATAAAGTCTGTCAATATATTATCTATCTCTCACTCACTAATTATTTTGTCATTATATTATTCATGCTATCATGTCGATCTTACAAATGTCGTAATGAACTGAAGGCAATAGGATGAAAAAAAGAAAATTAGTTGAACTAATGTAACAGAGAAAAAGAAAGAATAAACTGACAATGATATAATAATCATTATATACTATGAAGAAATAATAGTATGAATTGATAAGTTTAACCAGAAAATAAAAATCATAAACATATGGCATCATAAAAAAGATGAAAAATATGAAATGCGATATCATAGATAGATTCGTTTCATGCACATATATCAATATTGTTTTCGCCCCGCTCTTTTACTCTTATAAATAACAATATATCATATTAAGTTTTACAATTGACATCACATTGATTGTGCAGTTTTTATCTACAATTCTGCAGGACAAACGTTTTTGCGTTATTCAGAGCCTCAAAAAATATATTGTGTTGTTCTGTGGAGAAAAAAGATGGGACTTTTCCTCCATTCTACTTTTCCTTTGACAACTCATTTTTTTTCGTAAAATACACGATCATAAGAATTCTTATATAAAATATTTGTTATTTCGCTGATTCCAATATCAAATTTGACTTTCAAATTGTAGATTTTAGAAAAATAATTTGTGAAAAAAACATTTAAAAATAAAACATTTAGGCCAAGGTCTTTTTTTTGTACTTTGCCTCCATAAATCGGAACCGTTTTCCACGACTGCGCGCCTAGCAAATCAAATATCAAATCTAGAGTTTTGAAAAAAAATCGTCAAACTTTTCTTGTTAATGCTCATTATAACTTCTTTTTCGATGAAAAAGTTTGGTTTCAAATACATCTGTCTCAATTTTATACAAAATTTTCAAATATCTCGTTTATTCTTTCACCATTCATTTGGTTTTTGTTATTTAATATAGTATTAGCAACATTGAAAAAGTTTTTATGTCATATTTATTTTTAGCCTAATGCATCAGATGCTCCAGCACCACCGCAAGGATATGATTATTTAGGCAGTCCACGGCTTTCTGTACCAAATCCTGGATATGGAAATGGAAATGGAAACGGAAATGGTTGTAATTGTAATCAACCGTGTTTTTGTATAGCTCAAAAAGGCGATCAAGTATAAAGATATTTGAAAAAAAAATATGAATTTTTCTTCATATTTATTTTATATTATTTTAGGGACCAAGTGGACCTACAGGACAACAAGGAAGTAGAGGACCCGATGGTATTCCGGGTCCCGAAGGTAAATAATCCGGAATATGATTAATTCAATAATTCGGCGTGTAATAATCTGATAGCTACGGTTTTAAAGACATTCTGCAATAATAAACAAAACGTATGCTCATTTTAGGACCAGAAGGCATGAAAGGAGAAAAAGGTGATAGGGTAAGAAAAATATCGATTAATAATTAATGAATAATTCAAGATCTAACTTCAATGTTAAATTTATATTTAGGGTCTTCCGGGATTGCCAGGTCAAAAAGGAGATAGAGTATGTTTTAGTTAATCCTTTTCCATAAACTAAGAACATTTTTCTCAATATCATTTTTTGCTCATATTTTAGGGACGATCCGGTGAACCAGGAATGCCAGGTAAGAAATACTTTACTTTCATACATTGACGTTAATTGAGATTTTAGCTAATTTTAAACGACCAACTAAACAAATAGTTTTTTTCTTAGTTCAAAAAAGAGAGTTATAAACAAAATTTTCAGTATCGTCGAACTAAATATCTAATATTGATTGTATTTAATTTTTTAGGTCATCCTGGAATGCCCGGAATTCCAGGACCACAGGTCAGTATTAATATTGAGATATGAACAAAAATTATGTTGTCAAAAAAAACAAATATGACTAACAAGTATGTTTTTCTTGTAGGGTCCATCAGGTAATGAACCAATCATTTTGTAATAGAAACAAGATATTGACATTTTATATTGATTGTTTATGTAGGATTACCCGGTCGTGATGGATGTAACGGTACCAGAGTAAGTATCAAATATGGAACTTTAAAATTAATCAGAATGAAATACGTTTGATAATAATGATATCATTTTTTATCTGTTTATTCTAGGGAGATAGTGGAAGACCTGGTTATAGTGGACAGGTAATATTAAAGAAAAAAATAACAATAAGTTGCCTATGTAATTATTGAATTTAATTTTTTCTCTAGCCTGGAATACCTGGTGAACCTGGTAAATAGACAATCATAAGCTTGTTAGTTCTATAACTATGAATATATATTTTATTTTAGGATTACCTGGACCTCGAGGACAGAAAGGTAAAAATTAAATTTTTTTTTAACTTAGAAATCTGTACAAATACTTATAATTTTTTTTTTTCTCTTCTTAAAAGGTGAACCAGCTCAAGCATTACCAGGATTTAAAGGCGAAACAGTAAGTGTTTCTTTGTCATCACACGTAACGTAGATAACATTATTCTTTTTAATTATTCTATTTATTAGGGTGAAACCGGACCTCCAGGTACGATATATTTACAAGCTGTTTTTTCTAGTTTTTTATATGAAATTTTTATATTAATTTAATTTTTCGGTTTTTATAGGCTTACCAGGTGGAGCTGTAAGTTCTTTGTTTAGCATTATCTGTTTATGTGGATAGTATACGATATGAGAATATTTTTCATGATAAAATAGGGATTACCGGGAAATCCAGGCGTAATTGGCCCACCAGGACCTTCGGGTTACCCTGGTCAAGATGTAAGTTCATTTATGCAATGAAGTTAATATAAGAGTTTTAATCTTGTATATGGTTTTTGTTCAATATAGGGTCAAAAAGGAGACCGTGGAACTCCCGGACAACCAGGTAAATTTTTGTAAACTTTATGTATATTAAATTAACAGAAAATTTGAATAAAAATATATGTGAATAGCGGCAATATATGAAAAAAAATTGCCAGTTTATATCCAATGTTAACATTATTTGAATTTCATTTTTAAGGTAACCCTGGATTAGGACTCATGGGACCACAAGGTGCAAAAGGAGAACCGGTAAATTGTCGAAGATGTGTTAGAAAGACAAATGCATTATGTTACTTTCTTCATTCTATTGATAGGGACCAGCAGGACCACCATCAACGTCGATTGAATATTTTCAAGGAGCAAATTATTCATATTTACATCCCCAGACAGTTCAAGGTGCACTTGGCCCAAAGGTAGATTAAAAAGATTTTGTTATTTAACTATGGACTATAATATTAAAACTTCCGTTTCTTTTAGGGTGACATGGGCCCCAAAGGAGAACCTGGCGAAAGCGGTAAGTGTAATAAAACTTAGAAAAACATTTCCTATATAATCATATATCTACTTTGTTTATTCTCGTAGGCTATCCGGGTTCACCAGTAAGAAAAACTAAAATATATTTTCGTTTATTTTGATACTTTACTGATTATTTGTTATTCATAGGGTCAAGCAGGTCCAGCAGGATTGAACGGTAAAACTTTGCTTTTAACATATTTTGTTTTTATTGATTTTTCTTCTATTTTAAAACATTATTTTTTTTCTATTAATATTAATAGGTGAAAAAGGAGTACCGGGCCCAGTTGGACCAAGAGTAAGTATTTATCATAAATCGTTTATTGAAAGTATTCGTGTATTTATCAATTTTATTCATAATTTACAACTTTTATTTAAGGGTTACAATGGTATGCCAGGTCCTGCTGGTTTTCCAGGACAAGCAGGGTATGATCATAAATAAACATGTACCATTGATGACTTTAGAAAATGTTCTATCTCAATATGCATCACTGGAATTGCTAAAGACTAATTAATATTTTTTTGTAGCGATCGTGGCTCGCCAGGATATCCTGGACAACCTGTAAGCAGAAATAATCGATGTACATTAGAAAATAGTCATTTTATTTTTTATATATCTTAGGGTGCACCGGGAAGACACGGACAAAATGGAAGTCCGGGAGATAAAGGTAATTTTATACTGCTGTTATTACTACTCAGTTATTCTTTAATATTATCAGTTTATAAACGCAGATACGTGCAACAAAAAAACAACAACTAAGCCATTTAATCTTACTTTATTCAATTCAAGTATTTTTCAATCTTTTTATTTATTTTTTTTAGGAGACAAAGGTTTTCCTGGTATGCCTGGCGTTTGTTCAGCGGTACGTTTTTCATTTATAAAAAATTATAATGACGATCGCTTTTCTGTACTTCGTCAAATATTTTCATATTTGAATAAAAGATTTTCGATTATTCTAAATAAAAATAGTTATGTTCTGTTGTGAGAAGAAAAGTGATACTTTTTTTACACTTAGGTATGGACCAGTTTCAGTTTTTAACTTTAAGAACTGGAACTGTTGGAAAACTTTCGAAATGAATTAAAAAGAAGTTTTATATTCTATTGAAGAAAAGGCAGGTAAAACTTCAAAATTCGTTTAATAGGAACGCTTTTTGACGTTGGAATTTATGGACTATAAATAATAGATTATGAAGCTTCTAACAGGACTGTTTCTGTGATTCATATAACTCACTGACCATCTCTATGAACGAGTGGCTCCACTTAGAGATGTGTGAAAGGTTCAAAAACTAGTGGAAATTCAGAAGGCTTCATAGAGATGGTCAGTGAGTTATATGAATCACAGAAACAGTCCTGTTAGAAGCTTCATAATCTA